ATGTTGTAGGAGTTGGTGCTCTCATTATCAGCAACTCCTTTTGAGAAGACTAGACTAGCCTAAAGTAAGCTTGTTTAACCCCTCGGGAGCTGCCTTCCTGTCTGACCAGAATAAAAGCGAACGTGTGCTAGAATACCTGTTAGTGTTTGGAGAATGAGCCACATCCACAGAGCAGCCCACTGTGCTTTGAGCAAGACCTAAGATCGTCATGGGATCAAGGATTTGACCTCAGAGGGATCATTTGGTTCAACACTCTCATTTTGCAAATGAGGTCGAGATATAAAGTGAATTGTGTAGCAGGTAATAACAGGCCAAGATGTGGACCCAGGTCTTCTGCTTCTAAATTTTAGGCTATATTCTCAAGTTATTTCCTGACCATTTAAAAATTGGAAAAGAGAATAGTGCAGTGGAAACTGAGAAGCAGGACTTAGCATTGTCTGCTTTTGTCCCTGTACTCCATTATCTCTGCTAACGCAAGGTATGCTTCATCCTTGAAGTTGTGATTGCTTGTTAATTTGGGCAATTTAGAATCTTTCCTGGTTTCTGCATCCATTCATCCTCTCTCTGAATGTCACATTTCAGTATTGCACATATTCCATTATACACCTATACCATGATTTGTTCAGTTATTCCTCATTTGATGGTTACCTATTTTCCATCCTTAACTACAAATAGTTCTAACTTTATACATAGGGTCCTTGCTTGATAGTAGTATCACTGAGTCAAAGGAAACATACAACATAAGTGACCTGGGGTATAAATTGTTTTCCAGCATGGTTGAACCAGTTTAGTTCCAATAATGCACTATTGGAGTTGTATCCCTATCCTCCCATGTTAGCTTCCAACTGCTAATTTTTTTTTTGAAGCATCTTTGCCCATCAGACAAATGTGAGATGAAACTTGTCTTAGTCTGAATTTGGTTAGTAACTTGAAGCATTATTTTTTCATGTGGTTGACAGGTATGGCTCTTATTTACAACAATGTCTAATATATCCAGAGTATTAGATACTTAAAAATTTGCTAGGAATTTTTTTTCCAAATGGTTTTACTTTTGATTGTTTTATAAACACCCATTATTTAGAGAATTCTCCACAAATTAAGATTGTCCTCCTATATTTTTAGAACACCGCTTGGATATCTATTTGGAGTTCATTTTGGCATATGGTGAAAGGTATTGGTCTAAGCTTAATGTCTGCCAGACTGCTTTCTAGTTTTTAAGTGGCATTTGGATACTTCAAGTCTTTCCATTTTCATAAAAAAAAAACCCAAAAACAAAACAAAAAAAAAACCCAACAAATCTCCCAAACAACCCCCAAAACACTCACACACACATGCACAAAAGGTTCAAATTATTTACATTATACTTTTATTTCAGAGAAAAAGTGCAATTAATAAAAAATATTTTAGCAGTACTTTCTCATTTAACATCACATTTAAGTCAGAAACTGTTAGCTACAGTCAATTCTTAATATTCCTTGAAATAAGTTGTTCTAAGATGGTTTCTTCTGTGGGTTTCCTCCTCGTCACTTAGCTAAGCCACTAACGAATCATGAACTCAGAGAATTCAATGTTAGTCTAAGAAAATATAAGGAGGAAAATAAACTTGCTACTGCAAAAGCATAATGCATTCCAAAGTCCACAAAGGTTTATTTGCAGATTGCCTGCAACAGTTTCCTCTCTGTGCAGCTGACAACACATTTCCACAACTTAGTTTGCACTTCAGGATACTTAAGACTTCTCTGTTGCATTTATCAAATATATAAATTTCTCATTAATGTAAAATTAAACTATCTTAGAAAAACCAGTTCAAGTGATAGGCACAAAAATACCATAGGGAGGGCCCCTGAACTGTTTTAAATCTTTGTGACTAGGCTTTGCCAGTCAGTGTTCTGCTAAGCGCATAATGGTGGAGAAGTGTATCCACCAACAGAGGTAGAATGTTAAAAACAGATGGAATTACTGTGGAATCAATATTCTCCTGAAATACCCAAGCCCTTTAATTCACAGGTATGATTTAAATACTCATGCATTATAGGAGAGAAACAGAACAATAAGAAATTAAACACCACTTCAAGGTGGTATAATTAGGAGCTTAAAAACAATCTGTAAAACAATATGGACTGCTCAAGTACGTCACTAGAATAGCAGGCATGTGTAATTAGGATGGATAGTGAGATGCAATAGCAGAACCAAAAATAGGAAATGTCAATAGCACCACGTGTGCTACTAAGGCCACTAGCAAGAAGCAAATAATCCAAATACAATGATCAAAGCCATTACTATCCTGACCCCCCCCAAAGCCAGTTCTCCACCCACAGTAACTTTCTTTAGGCAAACTTACAAATCAAATCCATCTCACTTAAATTAGATAGGGATAAGTTTTATGTTATCTAGCTGACAAGTTTTGGAGGAAAGAGCTTTGCAAGTCATAAACTGATACAAACATAAGTTGTTATTCCTGTCTACCTAAGCCTGAAAATTCATCACAAGACCACCCAAAGTCAATAGCTTTTATGAACCTAATATGTACTTGTTTTTAAGTATACTTGCATGTATACTTTGCAGGATTCCAAAGTTTCTTTCACTTATTCCATTAATACCTTATTATCTTGGATCCTTCAGGAATGAAACGTAACAAAATCCGCAGACAACTGAAGTTGAATCCTCAGGTGCCAAAATAATTTCAACCATTTTTGATACAAAACATTCTAAAACATCTCAGTCCTCTGCATTCTAAAATCCCAAGTCTGAACATGGACTTTTTTTTTTTTTTTTTGATAAATTATGCATAGCAATTTCTGCACTAAGAAACAGTATCTATACTGTAAGGCCTCTGAAGCCAGGCTATCAACTCAAGTATTAGGAGGCTTTCTAATAAGGTATGTAGGGGGTGCAATGACTCCAGACTGCTTGGTAGGATTCTTCAGCCATTATCTCTTCCCTGCATCTCATCTAAATGTCTAAGACAAGTCCCTTCTCCACTTTAAATTAGCTATTGTTAAATCAATAAACAATGTGGCCCACAATTATAATATCATTATTTGAGGGTAACAAAAGGCCTCCTGTGTAAATAGGGGACAGACTTCATTTCTCTTCTGGCAACCTATGATTAATAGGGAAGCCAACAGAAAATACACAGAAATCTCACCATCATTAAAAGGTCATTATTCTATTAGCAATTTGTACATGATATCTGATGGCATTTCCAGGAAAGAGACAGGCTGGACACCTTTGAATGTTTGTACTTCTTTGCATGGTTGGGAGGCTGTTGGTAGGGAAGAGTGTGACATGTATCACAAAGAAAAAAAGCTTACAAATTTACATTCTATTTTAAAGTCATAATTTGTACTTCTGATCTGAGACTTACCCATGATGCCTTACCGAACTACAAATTTTTGCTTCACTTTGTTACTGACTACAAAAAGCCCCACAAACCCTATTAACTCTAATTTAATAAATCTTTCCAGGAAAAAAGTGTTTAGCATAGCAGTTTGCAAATAGCACATAATCAAGAATATTAGATCCAGAGGTGATATTAGAGAATACTGTTCAGATGAAGGTGATTAACAAATACTTGATTTAGATACGGCTTAAAAAACTATTAGGTTAACTTTTCAAAGCATAGGTGTTGTCACATGAATGGCATAGGTAGGGTTATTTTCTACCTTGTTTTCCTTAGTCAGAGGGGAAAGTATTAGAATACCAAATGTCTCCAAAATCTCATCTAAATACAAAACCGTCTCTTTAGGATCCACAATTGAAAATAATATAAAACATCCTTTATTCAAGATAGCACTTAGTGAGAAACTAAAGGCTACTGTAGCAAATCTACTTCACCCAGGATTATCTGGCCTATTTGGAAATTAACATTTGTCTTCTTATGGCTAGGCTTTATTTTTTTTTTTAATACTAGACCTACCTGTGATTTAAGTACAAGGAATTTTAATGAAGAAACTCCTCTTAAAGCTGTCAGGCAAATCTTTTAAAGCCTAGTTTAGGAGAATAAAGCAGAAGTTAAATTGCTTGCCCTGGGGTCACACAGTTAAGCATCACAGGCACAACTTGAACTCAGGTTTTAATGAAGCCAGCTCTCTGTGACAGGCTATCTTTCTGGAAAATCTTATCCTTCAGATAGCACTAACCATTCTCACTTCCTAAGGAATTTTTTTCCTTAAATTTGAAAACTCTCAAGGAAATCTTAAATTAGTCGAGGGATTTTACCGTGCAGCTTTGGGAAGGAAAATCCCAATGCAACTAAGTCCTAAGGGCTGGTTTAACTATTAATAAAATGGAATACTTCACAGCTTAAAAGATTTCTGTAGGTCAAAAGCAAAAATTTTTGAATTTTATTACTTAAGTTTTACTCTTGACATTTCAACTCCCTCCAGATTTTGTTTTCAGGTTCACTCTAAAATTCTAATAATCAAAGGAGTCTGATGCTCAGTATGAAAAGAATGAAACAGTTATTTATCTACTCTATAAAGTGCAAAATAGCTCCAGCAGGTCGGAGACCACATCCCTCTGTTCCCGCACAAAAGCTTATGGAAGCGTTAATAAGCCAAAACCAATCATAACTTATCAACTATCAACATCTGTAAAATGAGTTTATGGCCTCCTGGGATACTCGTCCAAATACCATAACCAAAATCAACTCTCAAGTGTAAGGGAAAGCTAACTGAGCTCCTCCCAAATGATTTACAAAGTTGACCAAATTAGAAAGGATGGGGAGAACGACACAACTCATTAGTACCTCCAATTAATTTGTATTATATCTCTCCCTAATTTCTTACTTCAATTTTCATTTGTATTTATCTTTTTTAATCCTAAATCACTTGGTACTCAAGCTAGATCCTTGATCGAGCCACCCAATTCCTCCCCTGACATTCCACATAAATAGGTAGAAGAGACTCACTAATTATTTACATTTAAATATTTAATGCCTAACAGAACACTTAGCAATTTATTAATCTCTATATGGAAAATAATCCATTGCCAAAGACTCAAACTTAAGATGTTTTTATTCAGATTTAAAGGCTTTTTTCTTCCTCCAACACTGCTCTCCAATGGTTATTTCCTATTAATGAAACCAATTTTTGCTCTACTATTCATGTTTAGGATCAAGTTATTAAATCCCAGGAACGCAAACATTACTGACAAATGCTAATAAAGCTATAATAAAGAATTCGTCTGAACCCCATAGACTAAGTTAGAGAACTGAAAAACTACAGTAAACCTCATTTAGAATTTTTTTTTTACAATAGTGCAGATAGAACAGAGGTAAACTTCAGCCTACTCTAGCAAAACAAAGAGTAAAGAAGATTTAGAATGAAGATGTCAAAGGGGATTTGGGGGGGTTACCTAATCCATATAAGGCCTCTTTTTGAGAGGAGACACAGGTGTTTAACTAAAAAAATTTTTTTCCTCTTTCCCAAGGTCATTTACTTGCTAATCTTAGGTTAACCTTACTAATTTAGTTCAATCCAGGGGTGCTTGAAGTTACTAAACTAATTTTTCTACAAAGGATTCATATTTCAGTCTTTTTGCTGATTTTGAGTGGCCTTTCACCAGAATCCAAATGAAGTTTTCCTGCATCTAGAAGCAGAGCAGAAGGCATGGAGGTAAACATGACCAAAAAAAAAATTATATCTAACCAAGGGAGTGGTGAACGAAATTCTCAGAATTGTTGTGCAAAACTTAAAACAAAAAAACACCCACTATGTATTTTAGAATCTAAAATGCAAATGTGAGAAATTATCTGCAAATTTATATAGGTGAGTATAAATTCAAATATTCTAATGTTGCTTGGTTTGGTTTTCTGTGAATCTGATGGTGTTAAATGAATGTTAATAAAAATACACAAAATTTGAGCGTCTGAAAAAGCCAACCTTTTTCCCCCCTGCCATTCCTACATCTTGTTCTTGATCCAGTGAAAAACAGTGACCTATTTTTTTCTTTTTACTATTCTTAAGAATCATTTTTTTAGGAAAAAAAGTTCTTAGGCAAGAAACATATAAATCATTTGGGGAAGACAGATGTTAACCTAAGTCATAAACTATCTATTTAAAATACCCATCTAACCCTACTCTGACTTTCTTCAAATTGCAATACTTAAAATTACTTAAGTTTTTCCAGCAAAAGACAAAAAGATAACACCAATGAACCCGTTTTTATTAGGATAAAGGGTTTGCTTTCTTTCTCTAAATGGTTGGGATAGTTTTACTGATCTGCCCACATTCTAACTCTGTTTCCCCCAAGGCCATTAGCACATACTTTAAAGAAAGATGGTATTACCCACCCTGTGGCCAATGGAACCTAATAAGGTCCGGAGAAGAATTCTGATGACTTTGGTACCATTAGCACTGTGTTCTACCCAATGAGCGAATTGATCACAACCTATTTAAGAAGGTGTGCTTTTTGTACTGAAAATAAATTAGTGCTGAGGGAATAAAAAAATAGCTGAATTCATCTGTTGTTTAAAAATCATGAACGTGAACCTAAATGTAAAGTATGGAATGGGATGCCAATGATGATATTATTTGGCACAATTTAATTTTGTTCAAATTTTCTCAAATCAGGTAGCCATAAAAGGAAAACATAGGCAACTGCGGGCCCCCCAAAAAGAATCAAACCTCTAGATTTTTCACTAAATTGAGCTAAAACTTTCTAAACACAATGTACTTTCAGAAAGCGTCAATAAAACTGGCAAACTTTCAAGTGGTCTTCCTTTGATTGAATCCTTATACATATATACAAAACATAAAGGAAACTGAAAACCAAAATCATTTGGCATTTCAGTAATTTGGCAATCTGGTATCTTTTGGACAACATGTACTCATCTTTTCAGCTAAGATTTCATTGACCAATTACAGCGCTCGTTAGGACTTTGTAGGGTTCTTTATGTACAAATAAAGTGATCTCATGAAGACCCTCCATACTGGTAATACAGTACATAATATATACAAAGTGGATTTCTATAATGTAAAACCAAGAACTCTTACCCAAAAGGTCTTTAAGAGAAGGGCAATCCATGCAATTAATCAGTTGAAATTTATAAATAAACACCAACATCTATAATCTATACATAATATACAAATGGTTATGCACTTAACTATTGTATATGTCCCATAGAAACAAATTCCCATGGGAAAATACTGCTACACTTTCATTTGTCAAGCAAATGAAAAGAGCTCAGAAAATCTGTTTATAACATGACGATGCCAAAATGATGGTTATTATTATATTATTATTATTTTTTTTTAGCATTTCACCTTTCATGGGCCTTGTCCATAAAACCATGCAAAAGCATGTTAACTTCACTGTGGAGAAGAAAAAAAAACCCCTTGATTCTGCTCCATCTCATTTGAGATGCCTCATCAACAAAGACTCCCTTAGCTCTCAGGCACAAGAAATCCAAGCACGAAATGGAGTTATCAAATACCATTAAAGCTCTGCAAGTAATCTGGCTTTCAAATAAAACATTTTCAATTTCACTTACTTAAAATGTCATTTTACATAAAGTTTTGAAGGAATAAAAATGTTTTAATTTAGCAACATCTGATTTCAGTCTTTCCTCATGTTTTCGTAAAACTTTCACTTGAAATACTTGAAAGATGATGCATAGCAGCAAATAAACAAATACTTCACATGGAAAAAAAGCAATCCCACAAAATGTTAAAAATTCAAGGTACATCATGATATATTTCTCATAGTTAAAAAGATCTATTCTGCAAATACTCAGTTACCAAATTCTAAAATTGTGTTTATGGAATGTTTTAGAGCGGCCATCGTCAGTTAACAAAAACTGTGATATTAAAGAACTTCTATGTTATCCTAAGGAAATCCTAAATAGAGCTTTCATGGGGTGGTGACCTCCATCGAGACTGTAGATTTTTCATTATGCAGTTAGTCATGCTAACCAGTTTCTCTTGCATTTCAAAAAGTTGGCTTCCTGAGTAATTATGCAGATCTTCTGAATTTAGCTGAAGAGCAAGAGCACTGATCTGGGCCACAAGATTTCTGGCCTGGTGACCATCTGAGGTAACTGGCTCAATTAAATCTGTAAGAGAAAATAAAACAGAACAATTCATTTGGCACCTCAAATAAGCAAAGTACTGTATCATTTACTGAATACTTAATGACCCTTAAAATCTTAAGAATTAGTTTTCTATGACCAGTAAGCTCCACCATACCAAAAGAAAAGACTGAAAAATTTACAAATACAATCTTAGGACAGTTAAGAAATTAATCAAGAGTATCAAACTTTAAAAGTCCACAATTTTTTGGTATCTCCAATGATGGTTTACACTTGCACTTTGAAAAGATATTTTACATATAATTTCACCAACTGATCCTCAGAACAATCAAGTGAGGTGGACAAAAAAACAGGAAACTGACGCTCAAAGGCACATAAGCTAGATCTATTTGAAAGTATTGTTCACAGGGGTAGCTAGGTGCTGCAGTGGATAGAGCACTGGCCCCTGAGCCAGGAGGACCTGAGTTAAAATCTGGCCTCTGACACTTGATGCTTATAGCTCTGTATCCCTGGGCAAGTCACTTAACCCCATTGCCTTGCAAAAGAACAAAAACAAAAACAAAAAAAGAAAGTATTGTTCACATTACTTCAGCTTTACTTTATTTCATGCTTTACCTCCCACCAAGAATCAAGACACAACAGTACTGCCTTTGATGACTTAACATCAGTTACTACTACTTGTGTAGAGATGGGGAGGTGACAAAAAAAAAAAAAAGAAGCCAAGCTTGAAGGTTTATTTTGAAATACAACAATGGAAACAACACTTATAAATAAGGAGAAATATACCTGAAGCAAACATTTCTTCATCAGGAGAAATGGGCTTATTTTCCATTCCATTTAATGATTTCTCTGAAACCTCAATAAGGGTAATTTCTTCTAGTCCTCGAGACTTCATCTTGATAGATGTATACAGGAATTAAAAAAATCAAATTTAACTTTTAAAAACAAAAAATTGAAATAATAAAACATAAATGACATTTTTCAACCTAAAAAGGCACTCAAAGGGAGCAGGTACATATAAATAAGGCATGGGCTGTGAAGCAGAAACTGTAATGACCGACAACCCCGAAAAACTTAAGAACTCTCAATGCAATGTCCAACTACAAATTCCAAAAAACCAATGAAAGAATACTACCTACCACCAAATAGTGAGGAGATGTGTTCAAGACATACAATGAGACATATTTATGGACATGGCCAATGCGGAAATTTTTTATTTCCTTGGCTATGTATGTTCCCTACAGAATTTTTTCTTTTTTTTTCCAATGGAGGGTGGGGGGAGCACGGCTAGCATGGGACATGTTTAGGTAGGGAGAAAAAAAAATGATTAGACATCTCAAAGAAAACCGGCTTTGAAAGAGTGATGACTGCAATCCCCAAGGCACAGATGATGAGACATGCAACCCACCTCCAAATAGAGAGGTGATGGTATCAAGGTCCAGAATGAGAAAAACCTTCTGGGACATGGCAAATATATGGACTGATTTTGCTTGACTATGGTTACTGGTACTAAGGATTTTGTTTTTCCGTTTTTCCTTTTTTCAAGGGGGGTGGGGGAAGAGAGAAGCAAGCAAAAATGTTGCAAAAAAAGGTCACTGAAGCATTCTAAAAATGAAAAGAGAAAAGTAGGAAACACAGAAACACAGACAAGCAGTAGAGCTTTGAAAGTAGCAAGCTGAATTTATTACGTACTTAGGGAAAAAATGAACTCTGTGGTTTTACATGTAATCTCCCTTTTCTGTTCTACTATATGGAAATATTCATTTTGGAGGGTGTTAAGTTTGGAATAAAGATTTTTTTAATAAGAAAAAAGGTTCTAAGTAATTTTTTAAAATGGGGTTAAGGAGTGGGGATATTATAGGACAAAATAAATACAGGCCATGAGAAAATGAGTAGGAACAACTAGAAAATTGGTCAAAAGTCAGGCTAACATTGAATATTCAAACCTCCAAAGTGTGTATCTATCATATGTGATGGGAAAAAAATTGTTCCGATAACCCTCATATAAATAAAGTACCACAAATGTAACTTAATATATTATTCCATATAGACAACACTCCCTCTATAGCAAAAAAAGGGTGGTCATTCATATAAGACATGTTAGTGTTAAAAATCGAAAAAACTATCAAAAGCTCCCTGAGATAAAGGACATTTGCACTGCCCTTAGCATCTTGCAATGCTAGAATGAATTTAGTCCCCCCTCCCACCCTGGCCCCAAAGAAAGAAAAATTCTCATAATTACTAGGGAAAACATTACCAAAATGTAATCATTCTCAGACAGAAGTATTACAAATATACTTTTGAATTAAGTACTATTTAAATCTGAAGCCTCTGTATGATGATTTCCTTAGGTACTTTATCATATAATGGTCAATAAAATTTTTTAAAAAATTTTTTTACCTGCTGCTCATGATATACTCTGAGAGCCTTCTTAACATTGGAAACTTTTGGAGAACGGATAGGGAGAGTTTTTATTTCAGTTGCTGTAAGAGTGCTCAGATCACCAATTGTCTTAATATTCTTTGCTCTAATAAGCTGTCCTAAGCCTCTTGCCCTGAACAGCAGAAAATCAAAAGGACAAATAATCACCTTATAAAATGCAGTTTTACATTACATTTTTACTTTCTATCCCAATATTCTCTAAATTGCTTTTCCCACTTTAGTTCAATCATAGCTCCAAGTTATTTTCTCTTCATATAACTATTACATATTTTAATCTACTGACATGAAACAATTTTTCCCTATGCAAGTGGCAAGCTGTGTCATGTATTTTTTTTTTTCTTCCAAATCACTATCCATTATCCCATGCATCTATCAAATAATGGTCCTGGTCTCATTCAGCCATCTTTTTTTTTTGGGGGGGGGGAAGGGGATGAACAGTTTGGAGAATAGTACCCCGAGTAATAAGTTGCTAGCTCTAGGATCCACAAAACATGACTTCATATCACAAAAGTGTTCTAAAAGTAAAATGTCCCAGAGAACTAAGCTCTCCTTTTATCTCAGGCTCTTGTGGCTCTTGCCTATCTGCCCTCTACCTTTCCCTACCATCATGATTCAAAACCACAAATTCCATGATGAACACAGATGAGATGCCACAGATGTGAGTTCAAGTACAGAATCAAAGGAGCAACTACTTTTCATCTTAATCTTCAATTGAAGTCAAATGTTTTAAATGTGCAAAAGATACAAGATATCCTAAACTAATGAACAAAAGGTTCTGAGTGAATGTTAAGCTGTTCGCTACCTTTGGCATGCTCAAAAGGATTTAATATCTATGAAATGAGTATCTCAGCAGTTAAAAAAAAAATGAAATCAACATTGGAATGAGTCATTCTCTCCCCATGTTCCAATCCTCCTCTGTAAATACACAGGTGGTGAGAACAATACTTCTGATTCCTTACCAATCACCAACCTGGAATCACCAAAAGCAAGGAAGCATCCCTAGCACAATACAAAGACCTGACTTTTCCTACATAAGAATAAAGCTAAAAAGGCATCTTCCTGAGTACAAATGTGGCCTCAGAGACTTCCCAGATGTGTGACTGTGGGCAAGTCACTTAAAACCCTGCTTGCCTTGATTTCCTCATCTGTAAAAATGAGAGAAGGAAATGGCAAACCACTACATTATCTTTGCCAAGAACTCCAAACGGGGTCAAGAAGAGTTGGACATGACCGAAATAACAACAACAACAAAATGAACACCATTTCCAAACACTAGTCTATACAGAAAGAACAGGATTTGTGGCTTTTTCTTGACTCATATTGACCTGATGAGTTCATTAAAATCACCAGACCTTTATACCTAGCCTTATTTCCCCTAGTGTGTAATTGTCTGGTTTTTTTTTTATTCTGAATCTATTTTAACTTTAATTACCACTAGTGATTTTGATTCTACAGCTGAGACCACTTACCACATGTTTGAAGTAATCTGAGGTAAAATAATGTCAACAGGTGCTCCGCAGCTCACCAAGGCTGGGTATATACTTTCATTAGAACATTGAGGGGATTCTTTGGTCATTTCAGCAATCTGAACAATTAGATAAATTGTTAAATAAGGATTACATTACTGAAAACGAACATATAAAGTTACATGAAAACTAAAGAAGTCTTACTAAGCACTTCTTTGAGCTCTTAAATTTAGGGCTACAGGATCCTGGGGACAGAAATCCTTTGGTTGGAGTGGCATTATGCTAGATAGAAAAAAAGGAGAAAAAACTCAGAACCCTAAATAACTATAGAATTCAATTTTTAAAGTTTAAAATAGGTATTTTACAAAATAGTCAATGCCCTTTTGAAAAATTACACAATATTATTTAATCTATTTAGAATAGTTCAGTGATGACTGATTTTTAGCTTACCATATTTCAAAAAACCCTGCAAGTCAAAAGAAAGCTCATTTTTCATAGGCAGGTATATCTACATTAAACTCAAAGAAAGAAAACTTTGATATATTTTTAGATACTGGTGGCTTACCTTGGACTGTGAAGTAGGGGAACTTTTAAGACTTTTAGCTGTTGAAGAATTATTTGAAGAATGAGAAGAATGTGATCTAACAACTGGGCTTCTCCTATCAATATCATCTGCCAATCCTTCTTGGTAAATTGGATCTGCAAATGAAACTCGTCGAACCTAAAAGAAATAGTTACCTGATAAAATCCATTCTAATTAACTCCATAATGTTAATTTTTGAAATCGTCTCCCCCCAACAAGGTCAGTAAATGACTGGTACTGATGAATAACAGTGGTTAAGAAATTGTGTAATATTCACACTACATAGAGAAGCATACTGAATCCAAAAAATTATTTCACATTTAAGGTACTGGGTCTGTGGCTGGCTACTTTCCAGAGACCTCTGAAATTAAACAATTTGGTGGTGATAAAATTAGAAACCATAAAGGTCAAACCATAAAAAGAATTCCCTACAACCATATATTTCATCTTTTCTTTTAGAGATTATAGCTTCATCATTAACTGTAGAATTCCATGCAAGGAGGCTTTACTCACTCAAGTTTTTATTTGAATGAAGTACAAAAACAGTAATGAGTAGTGAGATTTATCTGCATTTAAAAATTTGGGGGCTTAGCTACCCAACTGAAAATAAAAGTTTCCTTTTTATTATTACAGTCTAATTCATAGCAATATTCCTGACGTTATTTTGACCTATTTATTAATTGATTGTTATGAGACTTCCCTTGATAAAGTTGAGTCATGACCTGAGTCATCAAATGTCTCTGGGCTTTAGGAGGTTAGATAGTTTAATTTTAAGGTCCCTACCAACTACAAATCTACTTTCATAGTCCTCCATTCCTCTTATAGCTGATTATCTATACTATTCCCAGCCTCAGGGAAAGATTGCAGGCACAAGGACAGCCTTAACAAATCTGAAATGTTATCATTTCCTCTAGTAAAATTATAAGACTGGAATATGCCTGACATGTTACCTATTACCTAGTTTTACCTATTTCTACTTTCTGACCACGTGCCTGACAATGTCTGACAATACTACTTATGCTAATTTTTCTCACCTAAATGCTTTCTGCCATGGTTTTCCTTGCTGGTTTTAGGGTTTCTTCAGAAGTTTATATTAACATAAAATGTAATATATAAATTTAATACATAAATCAAGCCTGCACCAAGCCATATCAAATTTTGCCCTTTTGTGTTAACTTTCGTTCACCTTGCTCTGTAACTTAGTGCATTTGTATAGATATCAGAGGTAACAATGGATTTTATTTTTGGTTGCTTTCTTGAATTTTGTCTTGCACTCTATTAATTATTCCTATACCATAGCTTTTTTCTGTGTTTCTTACTTTGGTGATTACAAGTAGGCCATTTTGATTCGTTTTACAAGACTCAAGGCAAACAGACTCAATTCTCACATTTTAGTTTTTCTAGCATCATCTACACACTCGGAAGCCAAAGTGCTTCACAACAAATGACTTGGAAAAGTAGCTGGTAAGAGAGACACCTAACTTACTCCTACATTAGTGCCAGGCTAGTCTCTCATTTTAGGATTCTAGTAATATAACTGGCTGTATAATTTGGGGCTCAGGGAATTTATGTTCATATATACATATATACACATACACACACACACATATATAAATACAGAAACATATAACAATTATTTATTATATATTTATATAATTAATATATATTATATTTCACTATAATTATATATTTATTATACATTTATATAATAATAATAGATAATAAATATATATTATATATATAAGGAAAGAACCTTAAGAGACCATCTAAAGACAACTCCTTAATTTTGTAGAAGAAAAAAAAAACCCAAAAATTATTAAGTGCCAAATGTGTAGAGAGCATTTTTCGAATTACTATCAACAAGCATTTTAATAAGTGCCGACTATATACCAGATACTATGCTAGGTGGAAAAACCTCTTGGAAAAACATGTACATATTTGAATATACACACAAAAAAAAGTTTGTTTTTTTCCTCTTTTTGGGGGTGGGAGGAAGGGCATTAATAGCTTGGAGAGGGGAAAAAAATCAAGAAAGGTTTCATGTGAAATGTGGCACTACTTGTAAGCTCTGAATGAAATGAAGGATTTTAAGAGAAGTGAGGAAGGAATGCACCTTCTAGGCAAGAAAAACACCCTGTGAAAAAGCAGAGGCCAGCTGGTTGGATCACAGAGTAATGAAGGGGAGTAATATATAATAAGCTTTGAAAAGCAGGCATTGAGCAATGAAGTGACATGATCTGACTTGTAATAGTGTAAATTTAGGTAAGGCATAACTTCTGCCATTGAGGTAATTACAAGGGAAAGATGATAATAAAAATACTCAAACAGATAACTATAATACACAATTAGTACACTGACAGTGTTACAAACTCAACTGTTACATGTGGTCAGTTGCATTAAAGAGATCACCTGAACTTGTCTTTTTGAATTGCCATATTTTCCAGAAACAATGGAGCATGCAAGAGGCCTTGAACTTGTCAAGTTCAGAGCACTCTTCCCCCCCACCACGAGTTGACATAATTTGGTGTTTGCACCCCATCCCACGCTGGACTCCCTGTGTGTCCCTGGGACTCAAGACAGGGGCCAGCCAGTTTGTATTAGACTGGGAAACTGCTTGTGCAGCTGGGACCCTTGGACACATGCAGACCATCCTAGCTTCAAAGTCTAGTAGTTCCCAAAGGAAAAGAATGCAGCTTTTGCCATCTTAATTATTCATGATTTCTCCTCCTCTGCCAACTCCCACTTAGACGGACATTTCTGTTTCTCCTCCTCTCTTTGTGGCAATTTCATAAATATGCAAGCTGCTGTTTGGATTGTGAACTCTTTGCTCTTGCTTATGGTTCCATATGCACATTCATTTTTCTTATGATAAATTTAGTTGCAATGCAATGTTTCATGGACTTGTGATATTGTTTTTGGTTAACAGAGCGCAGGTGGTTACCACTGAAAGGGAGGGAATTTAATTTACAAAAGTTGCTCAGTGGAACAGACCAGATAAGACCACAAACAAAGCCAAAATATCTGAGTAGCAGAAAAAATACAACTGAGCTATCCCCTACAAATAATCCACAAAGATCCAGAAAATGTATTAAACCAAATCTTGACTGACAGAATCGAGCTTAAAAAAATCAGAATGAGTCATTTTTCCAGCCTAGGTTAACATAGGGAAGTAAACGTCTGAAGATACTAGGGCAGGTTCTAGCCAGAATCAGTTACAGTGCCTGTCAAAGGTGTGCACCAGGGCAAAAAGAAGCCTGAGATCCTGCACAACCAGATCTGACCTTGTGCAGGAAGCAGAAACAGGTGCCAACAGCTCTGCTGCTCACTACTCAGTGCCAGGTCACACATCCAATATAAAATAAAGAGTATCCTTGTACCTGGAAGTAGCTGTCCAGGCCAAGTAATAGTCACTGGGCTTTGGCTGTGGACTAATTAAGGTACAACGTCTCAGCTTCAGTCTTCAACATGCAACAGAATAACTGAGCAAAGAAGCCCAGACCAAAAAGGAGCCTGCAACTGTTACCTGCAGAGCTTTCCAGGCAGCTGACAGCTATTGTCCAACTTCAATTAAAAGCAAAAATTCAGTTGTATTGCTCCCAATTCAGGAAGATTTACAGAGCCAACATGAGAAAGACAGAGTAAGACTGCACCATGGATCAGATCACTTTAGGTGTACTGAAAGTTAGCAGGTCCCCCAGCCTATAACAAAACCCTCAATAACCCGGCAGGGAGGGGAGGGGAGAAGAGGAGAACAGTAAGAATCCAACAGAATCCAAGGACGGCCCAGAATTTTAAAAGGAGTCTTTCAGATTTATGGTTAGGGGAAGAATTCTAAACTAAGTAAGGAAAATAAAGGAGATCCTAAAAGACAAATCTGAGAAAATAAAATTGTAGTTTTCATACAAATGAAATTAATGTAACTAGGACAAGGGAAATTCTTGATTGTAGAAAAGTCTTCACATTAGGAAAGTTTGGTATCTGAGATACACAGAAAACTGAAGCAATAGCGATGCCTGTAAAGCCACTGAAATATTCTTTCAAAAAAAATGCATAAAAGAGAATCCATGTTCTGAAGGAACCTCAGACAAGCAAAACACTTCTGAAAGTAATGTATGGAATTTATTATATACTTTTTCAAAAAGGAAGGTGGTATGGAATGGAGAGGTATGCTTTCATACAAACAACTGTTTTCTATCACATACATAGAAATGTTCCTTTGGGGGTGTTTAAGTTCAGGATAAAAAAAATTAAAAGGATAATGAAAACATAGTTATGAAAGACACCTGATCCCATTCTCATGTTTCATGTAATGAGCTTTAATTAAGTCATGTAACCATTGAGTTTATTTTGGACACATAAGATGTTGTTCTACACTTTTTTTTTTGGCTAGTTTACTCTTCAGTTTTACCAGCAATAATTATTAAATGGAGAATTTTGACAATATTGTTGTGGAAAAGATGGAGATAAATGGATTAAATATTCATACAATCAGCTGGGTTCAGAACTAATTAGATAGCCAGTCTTAAAGACTAACTGTTAAGGTATCAATAGTCCCATGACAAGATATATCCAACATGCAACTCCAGGGTTCTGTGCTTAGCCCTGCACTACTCAAAATTTTTATCAATAATTTGGATAAAGGTTCATCAACTGTGCAAATGATAGAACAATGGGAAAGAAAGCTAATAATGGATGACAGAATCAGGATCTAAAAGGATCTTATTAGGCTACAGAACTGAGTTGAATTTATTACAAATGGAAATTTATTAAATAGAGATAAATGAAGTCTTGAACTTGGGTAAAAAAAAAAATCATGGCTAGACAGCAGATGCTCTGAAAAAAGGCCTGGGTGTAGTGCTATTTCTAGGTATGGCAAGTAAAAAAAGTTAATCTTCATTAAAATGGTATAGCTTGCAGGAATAGAGAGGTGATATAGTCCTACTGTACTCTGCATTCAGACCTCATCTGGAGAACTAGGTTTAGCTCTATCATCAATATTAAGAAAAATATTGATAAGCTAGAGAATGTTTATTTTCACACAGGATGGTGAAAATCTTCAAGCCTCTGTCATATAAAGATAGGTTTGAAGAACTGACTATGCTTAGCTAGGATAAGAGACTTATAGTAGTCATGATTACTCTCTTTAAGTATCTAAAGGGTTGTCAGGTAAGATGAATTAGATGTGTCCTCTTTGGATCCACAGGGTAAACAAATGAAGAGTGGTGGGCCGAAATTGCAAAGAAAATTTTAGGCTTGATATCAGGAAAAAAAAAAATCCTAACAATTAAGAGTTGTCCAAAAGCGGAATTAGCTGCCTCAAGAGATAGTAGGCTCCCAATCCTTGGACATCTTAAAATAAATTGGTTTCTTTTGGATAAGAGGTTTGAATAATCTTTGAGGTCCCTTCCAAATCTCAAATTATTCACTGAATTCTCCTAGCAGAAAATATGCCCAGGTTTATGGTGCAAATACAACACTCAACTATTTCTGATTTTAAGACTCATTTTGTCTTGCCAATTTTCAGTATGTCAGAGATAACCATTTTTAAAGTCTTGCATTTATTAGCTTTACAAATTGTCTTCATTTTTACTGTCCACCAAAAATTTCAATATAACGAGGTACTTTTCTGCTTGGAAAAAAGGAAAACAATTACACCATTATTTGCCTGGAGTCATACAGTTAGTAAGTGTTTGGGGCCACATTTGAAGTCAGGAGTTCCTGACTCCAGATCCAGCTCTTTATCCACTTTACAACCTAGATGCCTCTAGAAATCTGTGCTCTAATTCCTGGTGAAAGGCAGATATATACAATGCAGAAGGCTTTAGGAAACAAATTGTAATACCAAAGATAAGGCAAATTCCCTAGACCTCAAAATCCTTCAGGGAGAGCTTGATTAAACTAATCTACTCAAAGAAACCTGAGTAAATGAGAATTATAAAACTTTGCTAAGCAAGCTAAATAGGAACACTAATTTTTACAAATTTAACTGACAACTAACTATAAAATTAATGATAAGGTAATTAGTTGTGAACTAGAGTCACAAAGCAGGGTAGTTATATGGAAGTTAAAATGATACTTTAGGCTATAGAAAACCCAGACAATCTACACCTATGTAGATGTACAGTCAGAATCCCAAACTTCAAAAATATCTCAGATTTTTTGGCACTTAACTTTTTGCCTGTAGCAGCAGGCTATAAGATCATCAAAACATAGGATTTAGCCATGGAAGGACACATACTTATGTAGCATAACCCCCTTCTTTCACATCTGAGAAAGTTGAAGCTCAGAGAAGCGATTTGGCTAAGATCAAAAATGTAATAACTAGCAGAACCAAGATTTAAATCTTACTCTTCTGGCTTCAGAGCTAATGCTATTTCTAGTAGGCTTGCACTAAGCTCTAAAACATTAACAAATGCTTATAAGTGGTGTGTAATGAGATGCTGCCTGTCCTGTTCAGTTAGAAGGTACTTTTTTTAGGGGTGATTACCATTAGCCCACTGATCTTGGATTTTCTCGTTACAATCTGGAGCAGTGAATTTAGGGTGAGGTTGAAGTAGGTAACTGAAGTTCCTTATGGGTAAAAATGCTACAATCATATGCGTATTGGAAGTATGGAGATATATTCCAGAAATACATGTATACCTACACATACACGTAGCCAATAAAAGCCATTTTTTACTGCCTACCTTATTAAGAGGTGATGGGGCCTCATCTTCTTGTTGTCTTTTTACTCCTCTCTTCAAAATGCTGGTAGAGGGAGAAGCCAAAGGAGACCAGATACAGCGTGTCTGCACTCCACTTGGGCTATCGTTTTCAGATTGAGCGTCTATTCCCCTCAACTTCTGAGGAGAAACATTACTTTCTTCTGTTATCAGCTCAGAAACATTTGCAAGTATTTTTGATGGTTCCTCCACTCTCTCTGAGGCATCCTGATTTTTCTCTAAAATTTCATCATTAATTTCTTCTGCCTCAACATGATCTTGATCTACCTTAGTTTCTTCAGTGTCATCAATGTCTGCTTTTACCGTTTCTGGTGTGCAAGATTCTGCTTTTGCTTCTACAGTATTCATTTTCTCAGGTGACTCAAACACATCAGTTTCAGCACTTGCCTCAAGTGCTTTGGCCTGGGCATTATCTGCTCCAGCCTCAGGCTCAGCTGTTCCCCTGTTTGCCACGGCACTTTCCTCAGATATGTTAACTTCCATCTTCACCTCAGGGATATCCACATCAGCACTTGACTTGAACTTGTCCATCTCAGTTGTAACAACAGTTTCATGCTTTATTTCTGCTTCAGGATCAGATTTTGCCTGTACTTCAAGTGTACTGTTTTCATCATCAGCATTCTTTCTTTCTACATGCTGACTTATTTCCTCCTCTAATGAAGTTACTGGTTGTTCTCTGCTCACCTCTAGAACAGGTTTCTGTTCAAAAGCATCTTGAGAATTATCAATTGGTAGACCAGAATTGATCATTTTATTAGCCTGATCAGAAGGTTCTTTCACTACAAGGTCTGTTTTGTTAATAGTAACAACACAAGTTTTGTTTTCAAAGTTTACTCTTTCTAGGGGAGGATGATCTTCAAAATTAGAAATTTCTTTCAACTCATTTTCTGATCCAGTCACTGAATCACTCAAAGCCTCAGTCTCTTTCCTGTGAAGTAATGGTACAATAGCAGTACAAGATTCCTTTAATGGTTTTACTTCTAAGTTTGTGCCCACATAAGAAGTTTCCAAAGGACACTCAGTGGCCTGTATACCTAGCTTTTGTGGTTCATCCATTTTTACATCATAATTATCTGTGCTTTTTAATGAAGTAAAGAATTTTTCTTGTAGTTTTGACTTTTCTCCACAACAATCACAGCTCTTTGACCTTCTCACCCTCCTACTTCTTTTGTGAAGACATTCAATTGCCTGTAGGGGGTTTTCAGAAAGCAAGGAGGTATCTGATATATCTGATACATCTCCCCCTGGAGAAATTGCACTAGTGTCCACAGAATCTTGCTTATGAAGTTTTTTATTTATATTTCTAGTCCTTAAAATTAACTCTGGAACATAAGAGTTTGAACTGGAATCTTCTACAAATGGGCTAATTTTACTTTTCTCCTCATTTGTGTTCTCTATGTCACTAGAAACTTCTGATGGGTCTGCAGATACTATAGAAACATTAATAATTGAAGAGTTCTGTTCATTGTTCATATCAAAAGTTTGAGATGACAATCTTATCTCCATGTCCAATTCAGAACTTGTTCCACCTTCATTTTTAGTTTCAGATCCTAGATAGTCCTTACTTCCTATTTTTCCCTTAGTATTTTCATTTTCAAGACTACTACCCTTATTTTTCCATTTTCCAGATTTTTTCTTATTAGAAAGTTCTTCTTTAGTCTCTGAACTATCAGATTCAGAGTTTTCAATACTAGAAAGTAAACCTTGGGATGCTCTCCTTGTCTGATACCTTGTTCGTCCTCTTAATGGTTTTTGTGAGGACTTATCTGAACTACAGTCCTGAATATCATCAACATTTGACTTAACATTCTCAAATTCAGGTTTTAATTTGTTAATTTCAATGTTAGTTTGTTCTGAAGTCTTCTCAATTAAATTGTTTGCTTTCTTACTTAAATGTTCTTGCTCACCTATATTTTTTTCAGAAATTGGTTTCTGCTTTTGTGATACATCATCTTTTATTTGTGATAGCTTCTTCTGAATAGACCTCTCCTCTTCCTTTCGCTTTTCCTTTTTTTCTTGACCGTTTTCTTTATCTTGTTTATCTGGAGTACATTCTATATCTGAGCGTCGTCGTGAAGACCTTCTAAGTGTTTTCTGATTAGATGATACCTGTATATGACCATCATCATTAGATATTTGGTCTGTTGTGGGTATTACTTCTGGAGGTGTATTTTCTTTGGATTCCAAATTATTTCCTAAGGCATTTCCTTCTGTAATGTTTTCTACCACTTCAAGACTTTCTACTGGATGTTGAAACTTTACTTCTTCACATTCCAATACGTTAGCTTGAGGAAGAGTGTCCTGGGTATCTTCTGCATGATCCAGTAAATCAGCCAACTTATTTTCTACAGGCATTATAGAACCACCAGATTCTTGAGCATTTTTTTCTTGTTCTGATCTTAACAGCTTAGGTCGTTTACTCCCTGTGTGTTCTGTTTTATTTGGCCTTCGAACTGTTTTTTTGGTTTCACTTATGATTTTTTCTCTATCAGGTTTTGAAATATTTATTTCTTTGGTCTTTATATTCATTGAGGTACTTGCTGTATCCATATTTTCTTGGTTCTCTGACACTGAAACAGCTCCTGATACAGTATTCAAGATAGAAGGACTAAATGGTCTGTTTTCTGATGTATCAAATTTTTCCAAAGTAATAAAAGACTGTCTTCGGCTTATAGGTCCACTAGAAACTGAGCTATTACTGGTATTCAAGGTATTTTCACTGATGCATATGTTTTCTCCTGAAGGCTCCTTTGAAACAATTTTAGGAGCATTTTTTTCAATGTGCTTTTTTATATTTAATAATAAATTGTTCTTTTCATGGCAACTTTGCACCTTATGTTTTGGGATAGAGGGTTTTTCAGGATGCTTCTCAATACTACTATCTACTGTGCTATCTTCAGTGTTGTTCTTTGCATCAACATTCTCTCCTTCCTGTACAGAAAATAAAATTTAAGTTATTATGAAAATTATGATCTTGCCCAAAACCTCAATTTATGTAAAAAACACTTAACATTACAAGTGCTATAAAAGTAGTTATCATTTATTAATTCAAATGTTGCTAAGTCTTCTTTTATCTACCTAATTTCCTTATTTGGAAAATGATGAAAATATTTGCATAACTGGTTTCACAGGGATATAAGTGTTTCAGAACTATAAAGTCATGCTACTATTGCTAATACATGGCAACAATATGCTATTATTATATGTTCTATTTTATTTTACTTCTACTCTATGAATTATAGAAAACACTAAGCGGCACATGGTTTTAGATCTAATGAACACTTGGAATTATGGCTATGGGTCCTATAATAACATTAAACAAAAGACTACACTGTCTATCTTGGAATAAAGGAAATATCAAATAAAGGAAATGAATGAACAACTTCTGAAATCTCCAAAATAAATTAGTTATACCTTCATGATAATCTCTGATTCTTCCTTCGATTCTTCAGTTAAACTTGGATTTTCCCTATAGCAAATAAATATGCAAGTTATATTTTTGTAGTTGTTTTTTGTTTTATTTGAGAAATCAGAAAAGGTCTTATGGAAGGCTTCAATTACTTACATAGTTTCTTCTTGAGTATGGTAAGAAAAACTATCTTGTGATACATCCAGATTATTGTATAGGGCAGGAATATCACTTCTGTAAAGCAAATCATTTTATAATTAAATGAAAAATGTTCCAATTATTATTACATGCTAAACTTTGCAAACAAATGTTAAAACAAAAGTACAAATTTTCTTCCCCTCTACATGCAAAGCCAAAAATCTGTTACATCATATACCATATTGCCAACTACAATATAACCTTTGGTTAGTTTTAGTATAAAAAGGTTTTTAACAAAAAAATAGGCTTCAAATTTAGTACCTAAAATCAATAGAAAAAATCCATTTTAAGTTGCCAATAATGTTAATTATGCTTACAAACCTCTTTGTTCTAAGTACTTCTTTCTGATGTTCAGTAAGAATTCTTTTCTTTGTTTCTTTCTCATTGGGAGGGATAAACACAAAATCAACAGATGAACAATCTTCCAAAATAACATCTTTTTTTAACTTAGGAGACAAAAATTCTAGTTTCATCTACAAAAAATTGAAAACAGTATAATATTAATTTTCAGGTTTTATAAAAATTTTTTATTTCAAGACCATTCACTTATGTTTTCTACTAGAAATATAATCTAAATTTAAGAAATGAAATGTTTTCCACATTTAAGTATCTTACTCTTTTGCTGCTTTTGTAGAATGAAGTTTATTTTAGACCATAAGATAATGTTTGAAATCTATGTTTACCTACATCATATGGCTAAAAATATTTCTCAAGACTACAAAAAGAAAACAGTAATATATATTTATTAAATTAGCCAAGAATTTTGGTACCAACTAGGAAAACTGGTAAGAAAAAGCAAAGATGCTACAGCAGCTTGGCAACTTGTAAGTATAACGATGAGATTTTCTGTAGAAGAGACATTTTCATTCTGCTTCAACAGAAGACCAAAAAGTTGGGGCCAAAAAGTTCAGATATGTCATCACTGCAACCAAAATATGTTATGATATAAGAAACAATACAAGTTCTTCAATTACAAATAGCTTAGGCCTGGATCCCCAGGGATATGCTCAAGTTCTAACCTTATCCTTAGATTGTTTTACTTTTTATTATTACCCTCCATTTTGCATTTTTGAAATTTTAACCTAAATGTTCTTTAGTCTATAAATTTCAAAGTTGTTATGTAAAAAGAAGAGAAAGTTTCTTAAAGACAACCAAAGAATATAAGCTTTTCTAAGGCAAACATATTTGCAAATCTGGGCATCATGCATGGGTCTGCTGCCTCTTAACTTTTAATTTTTTTTTCAGTTTTATTTCTTTTTAAATGTGTTCATTGTTATTACAAAAATTTATTTCTCCTCAAAATGTATAATAAGAAAGTGTCAGTTCTAAATATTTTCTATCATGGTTCACATGACAAATAATGAAAATAATTACTGAAACATCTTTGGGGCAGTTAGGTGACACAGTGAAGAAAGTGAGGAACCTGGAGTCAGGAAGACCAGACTTCAAATTCAGCCTCAGACATTTATTGGCTGTGTGATCCTGGGCAAGTCATGTAACCCTGTTTGTCTCAGTTTTCTCATCTATAAAATGAACCGAAAAAGGAAATGGCAAACCATTCCAGTATCTTTGCCAAGAAAACCAAATGGGGTCACAAGAGTCACACATGACTGAAAACAACTGAACAACAATAATAACTGATACATCTTTAACACTATCTGGAGAACAATTGCTAAATTAATAACAGAGAACTCTGCCACCTCTTATTATTTTCCCCCAATAGTTCTTCTTTGTCCTAACTTCTGTAGTCTTCCCTAATCCATCTCTAACCAGCCTCTACAACTGTTGCCTTCAAGCCGCTTTATGCAACTCCACCTAAGATTTACTTCCCAACAACAAAAAAAATCTGAACAACTTTTTTTTTTGGTGAGACAATTGGGGTTAAGTGACTTACCCAGGTCACAGAGCTAATGAGTGTTACGTGTTTTTTTCTTCTTTTTTTTTTCTGACCAACTTTTAAAAGGGTCTATTAAATTTACTTTAAATTACCTTACCTTAGATGGTGATTTTAGATCTTTTCCGTTCAGATTTTTTGCACGTAATGATAAAAAATCTTGTTTTCCACAAGACTGTATTTCTATACCACTTATCTTTGTGTCTAATTGTGAATTTTCTGTCTGTTTAAAAAAAAAAATTTGTATTTCAAAAAATTGTAAAATGTGTTACTTTTGCCTAATAATGCTATTTGCACTATTCTATACTAGTTTTAAATTATTTTAATACCATATCCTAAACCAATGACATAGAACTATACCCATGGTGACAAACTTAAACATGTCAATCTGATTTATTATTAAATACTCCTAGAGTAGTGATTTCTTAATTTTTTGTGTCATGACCCCTTAGATAATTTAGTAAAATCTATGGACTTCTCAGAATGTTTCAAAACACACATAAAATATGTAGTATTACCAAAAATGTAAATTATTTTCAAATAAATTTTTTTTTCCTCGTTCAAGTTCACAGACTCCTCCCCAGGTTAGGCATGCCTTCCTTATAATTCTAAAATTCCAAACACAGGCACAAAAGACCCATCCATCTTTATGGAATAAAATGCTAAAATACCATATGATACCAATATCAGATCCATTAGAAATACGCTTTTGAGTCTTTATTATTTTCCCCCTGTAATTCACTATCTTAGTGAAGCTCAATCATTGTGTTGGCTGGAGCAATATTTCATATCAGCGAGGAAAAGCTATTCAAAGATAAAACTTGAAACAAACAAAAAAGATAAAGGGATATTATTAATATATTCATTCCCAGAATGCCTAAATTCCCTTGGTACAAGAAGTTTTAGTCACCACATGCCAATGTTTTCAAATGCACGAAATCAAATACACAGGAAGAAAAAGGACATCAATTACATTGAAATACTAATACACTCTCTCTCTCTCTCTCTCTCTCTCAGGGAAAAAAAAACCGACCTACATAGAACCTAGGTAAAGAACTCTTTATCTTAAAAGGAACAAAGTTTTGTCTACTTCATAAAATACAACAAATGTGTTTTACTTCCGTTTATTAGTCTGAATAAATCTTAAATAGTTAATTATAAACTTATGTTATTAGACTCAAGAAATAGATCCTTTATTCACATCACTACAAATTTCACAGATCCTAATGTAATATAATTATAACAGAACTGAAGGTTTGTATTACTAGAAATTACATTTTTAGCCTGTAGTCTATTGAGAGAAATATATCTAAGTTTCTTGTTCCTTAAAATAACCACAGTTCTGGTGGGTGGTTCGGGAGCCAAAAGTATTTTTCTTCCTTTGCTGGAAGAAGATTAAGTTGCTGCTTTTTTTTTTTTTTTTTTTTGGCTAGGCAATGGGGTTAAGCGACTTGCCCAGGGTCACACAGCTAGTAAGTGGTATATGTCTGAGGCCAGATTTCAACTCAGGTCCTCCTGAATCCTGGGCTGGTGCTCTATCTACTGTGCCACCTACTTGTCCTGAGTTGCTGCTTTTTTAAAGCTATACTGATTGACCTATAACTCTATTCTCCTCCACTTTTGCAGTAACATAGAATTAAAATGAAGAGCTCTCCTACACCAGTGGTGACAAACTCAAATAGTAATAATTTCTGCAACCATATCAACTTGGAAAGTCACATCTATGTTGTACTGTATTTTAATTTGTTTTGTTTTAACTTATCCTAAAAAAGCACTCAGGAGGAACACTCAGCCACTCAGTTCTTCAAAAAATATAGTAATTAGAGAATTAACAAAAAACAGTACTTACTCCCTCCGAATAGAGGCCACCAGATTCTTCTATTGGTTCAACCTCAAAACCAGGTAACAAAAGCAAACATTTCTGTTTGGCTTGTTTCAATACAATCCTTCAAAAAGAAAAGGGGGGAAGGGAGGAAAGGGTGGAATTAATTCATAAGCACTGTTCAGTCCTACATATAAATAAGTACATTTAGATAAGAAACTTTATGATAAATACATATTTAGTCCTTCTTCCCCCCCACCATCAAGTACTCTATACTAAACTATAGGTATGTCAATACAATTAAATTCACTAAATAGAGAGAACTTAAATGTCTGTGAATAGAGGTTCTTCTATCACTCACTGGCTAATAATACTAAGGTAAACAAAAATTATCTTTTATGCAGTTTACCACACAAGCTGCCAAGTACAATCAAAATATTTTTACTTGGGTAAGAACAAATGGAACTAGAAGGGAAGTACAGAAAAAGTCTAGGGAAAAATGTTTTAATCCCAAACTCAGTTTCCCTTTTCTGAATCTTTTAGCTAAGGAATTCCCTCTCCCAGTTACTTAATAACCTAAGCCTCTTTACTATTTTCCCTATTAAAATCAAGTTATAATGACTTACCATTAGTTAACTTTCACTTAAATTGTATGACTGATACCAAGACAAAGGAGGCTGACAAGTGTTACCCTTCAGGGAGCATAAAAATCGGAGTCCTCTTTTATTAGAATTTCAAACTTAAGTCTCTAGGAAACTGAAGGTGAGGAAACTCCCTTCAATACAGGTCATATCTTCCGTGCAACTAATAAGTTTTTGCTACAGCAAAGTTACCTTGAGCTGTGGTGTCAAACCCAAATAGAAACTGGGCCACTAACCATGTATAAGGACCCTTGCAGATCACTGACTTAGTTTTAAAAATGTAATGTCATATTTAGTTATTTCCCTACATTTTAATCAATCACATTCTGGAGTGTTGCTATTTGACACCTCTGATTTGGGTGAAGTGACTTGACCAAGTCTTTCTGCTTTCCAGGACGGTTCTCTATTCAGGATTCCTGGCAGCTTCTATTTCCTACACTGATATTCTCTTATTTTAAACTTGACTATTTGAATTAGGTCACTAAGATGAGGAACCTCAAATCAGAAGCAGGGGAGAAAAAGTTGCTGCCAACCAAGCAGAATGACAAGAGCAGATACAAAGATTTATTAAGTTTAACACCCTAATAGTCAATTGCTTATACCCTTCAACAGGCTGTTGGAGTATCTCTGTGGCAGGTGTGAATTCCCAAGGAACCTGGATAATAACAGTAATGAAACCTGTGAGGTTAAGTACTACCTCACAGAATTAGGAGTCATTTTTACTGAACAAAACAAGCCTTTTATGTTCATTAATATAATAGTTTCACCTCTAATCAAAGTGTTCATTTAGAACTTCAATCTATGAACATTATTTTTTTCTTTTCTTATGAACATTATTGTAGAAATTAAAATTTTCATCTTACTTTAGTTCTTCAGGATACTCCAGCAGAGTCTCTTTAGCAAACGTGTCATTCCAGAACTGAACACTCTGTTTGCAGATCTGTTTATTTTTGTGCAGAAATATTATGCACAATAATGGGGAGAGTTGTTCTAAAAGCTCATTGTTATAAGTGCCATTGTAGCGAAACTGAAGACATCTAAGAATCTCTCCTAAGAGCTTTTCTAACTAGGAAAAAGCATAAAATTTAGAAATATTACTTTTTAAGTTAAAATAAAACAAAAAACCCAATCAAATTAGATACTATTTTCGGAACATAATATACTACTATTTAATTTCAAAAGTTATAGGAGGTAAGACATATGGTTTGCAAGTACATATAGAAAATAACCTGCACTTATTAAAAAAATATCACATGAAACCAAGGCAACCTGGTCTGTGTTTCTTTTAAGACAATTTCACTATCCATCCACTGTTCAAACTGTGCATCTACTAATTAGAAAGATTCACATATTAAATCTAAATTGTAAAGGATTTATAAATAATGGAGAAGCAGGAAGAAGTGATGAAATCTGTCAATTTTTTACCTTGTTGTTGAGGCAATTATACACTTTAGGCACATCACTAAGCCTGGGACAAAAAAAAAATCAAGATGGAAGAAATGATTATCACTTGGCAATTCAGGCTGTAATTATACAGGAAACTGTATCCTAAGTGGTTAGTAAAATATTACTCTGTACTTGATTATTCCTAAAACCATACATATGTAAGTTTTTAAATAAATCTAAAAATAGAAATACAATAATGGAGTTTGCTGTTTAAAAGATATAAAACAAACATTTTTATTATTGTCCCTTATCTCTAAATTTTCTTAAAACAAGAAATGCTTCAAGATATTTACAAATAAAATATAAGGAGATTCCACATAAATCATAGATCTCAAACTATACCAGAAAGCTAGAATATAATTAAATTTATTTTAGGTCAACTGTTTTTTCTTTTTCAGGCTTCTCCCAATTAATTTTCAAGTCTGGATACTTGCACTGCTAGGGAATGTATGATAGATCATGTGTCACAGAACTGGAAGGGAACTCAGGAATTATTTTGTCTAATATATTCATTTTGAGGAAAAAAGCTCAGGCCCAAGGTAGTTAAATGCCTTGCCCAAAGTCACACTGATATTAACAGTCACGTGGGAATTGAACTCAGGTTCTCCTGAGTTTAATGGCGATTGTTTTACCACACTATCATCACAAGCTAAAATAATAGGTTTTAGAACTAGAAAGATCTCATATCATATTATTCAAACCCCTCATTTTATAGATTCAGAAATGGAAACTCAGCAAAATGTACTGACCTCTTCAAGGTCACACATGAAGCAACTGAACCAGTACTCAAATCCAGTACTATTCTTCAAATCTAGCAATCTTTCCAAGATATCACATTCCATATTACTATTACCACATTAGTTACTAAGATATCACATTTTTAAACATAAAGCAGGCCTAACATAGAGTGGTTACTATAATAAAAATACCTTACTCTAAGGCATATGGATATACATATAGAATATCCATGTCAAAAGACACACTACATAAAGTACTTTTGCAAATGTCATTAACTATTATTATATACATTGGACATACATTTTAAAGATGTCAGTCTACTTTTCAAAACAGTTGATAATTTCTTCACTATTTAAAGTTTATTAAAGTAAATAATCTTTATTAACATCAGTTTTAAAAATCTGCTTTCTAGAAACAAAAATTTACAAATGCAATTATCTCCAAATTTTTGAATGAAACTCAATATACTTACTTTGAATTTTCATATAACAATGCCAAAGGCTTTGTTAAAGTTGCAAAGATTGTCTGTATCACTGAAGGCAAAGACACATGGCCAAGAATAGTAGAAATAATGCTGATAATTGAATTACCAACAGAAAGGAGTGTTTCAGAATGAAGATTCTTGAAGCTGACATCATGGAAAGCATCCATCACCTTCAGGATAACTTTAAATAAAGAAGTCAACTTCCCTAAAGGTTCTTTTTTTTTCTTGGACCAATCTGTAGGTGTCTGTGGTACTGAAAATAAAAGTGGTCTGGTTAAAGACAAAAGTCTTTTCAAGACTCATTCTTTCATAGAATACTTAATGTCTTGGCTCCAAGATGAACAGCAGTTTAAACAAGTTTAGGTATGCCATACTTGTCTAAATGATTGTGTTCTTTGCGAGCATGTTCTTTGTCTACATATGTAAACTTGTAGACTATATGGAATAGTCTATAAGTTTACATATATAGACAAAGAACACACTCATTCACAACTTAAGATACATAATGAAGATGAAATAAGTACAAACATTTCCCGTTTTTAAAAAGGCTCACAAGTAAAAAGATATTATCTTCTTGGATAAAAGGATAATTATTTTCTTGGATCCTCACAATAACCTGGGAAATAGCACGAGTGGCACTTTCCAAATAAGAAAGGTCCACGGCATGAAATCAGTCTTTGTACTATATTACATTGTAGCCCAAACTCATTAAGAATAAAATAATTAATAAACTTTTAATGAATGTCTATGTGAAAAGGAGTGGCAATTCAAATAGGCATAATACATGGCCCCTGCCCTTGCTAAAGTTAATATGATGCTGCAGAGATTTAGTGATAAATACCACAAGGCATATCCAAAGTGGTAAATGAATTGGTGGGACAAATATTTGCTGAAGAATAAGAATGCTTGAAGGTATGATGAGCACTATCATTCCTTTACACAATTCTGTATCATGTAATATGCTGGTACAAAAAAGTGATATATGCCAAAGTTATAAAACATTCAAAATTTTATTTATAAGTTAAGCAGAGCTCTTTTTAATTGAAACCTGAAGCTGTCTCTAATCCGTGGGTACGATATCAAAGGCAATGCTTCAGTCAATATGTTGGATAGATCCCTGAGCTATGAAATGATAGATTTAGAGTTAAATTGTCTAGTTTAATCCCTCATTTTCTAGATTTATAAAGTGAAGCCAAGAGATTACGATACAACATTTTTCATGTTCATTAGAAAAAAAAAAAAGATGCATCAATACTCACATTTAATTTGGGGTTGATGTTTAGTACTGTATGGTGAAAAATTGATGCATTCAACTATTACTGTAGCAACATGAGCAATCCTATCCAAAAAACACAAGTTCTAAAGGCGAAAAAAAATCAATATTAGAAACATCCAATTGTTAATCAGCATAGTATCTTAGGCTAAATGAAAAGCAGGGAAGTTTGTCAACTGTGATTAGTATGATCTATTTCACGTGTCTGCCTTTGCCAACATTCCCCAATGATTTACTCTTGTACCTTCATAGCCTAATTGAAGTCTCCCACCCTAAAAGTAATTTAACCCTCTGGAGGTCATCCAAGCTGTTGTTCAACTTGATTCCATGGTAAAAAGTATTCCTGTCTGGCTCCCTATGACTAAGGAATGCAAGTCCTGGCTATTCTACCCTGTACCCACATACCTTTGTGGATCTGGACACCTCCCCTTTCTTTCTATTACTTATTGTTCGGTGAATCTTCTCAACTAGAGTGTCACTTTCAACTAATTCCCAACCAATCTCCCAGTTTTACGACTGCCTGTTCTGTAACTGTTTCAACTAATTCACATTCAATTTCCAACCAATCACCCACTTATGAGACTTCTTGTAATTTACCTATTTTCATTACAACCAATTAATATTAGTCCAGGTAGACCTTTAAAAGAATTTAGTAATAAAAACTTACTGCAAAGGTGTTGTCATCTAAGGCAGACATCATCTTAAGACAAAGTTCATCACAGCATAAATTTTCTTCTGCTGTTGCTACCAAAGCTGCACAACGGGCAAATGTTCGATACAGTTCTGACCAAGTTCGAAGTAATGACTTCATAGTCGGCTTTTAAAAAAGATCAAGTAGAAAAACAGAATGAATGGAAAAGTAGGTTACTGCCAATCCATTAACTATATAATTCAATCTGTTACTTAAGTCTAATTTATCAAAAAAGGAAGAGAGAGAGAAAGGGTATGTGTATCTCACAGTGACAAATCAACATTACAGTCTAAAACTTTCCCAGAAAATGTGCTGTTCCCCCCACCCCTCCCAAAGCCGTAACCCATAAACTTACCAACGGAAACTCTTGTGCTGGAAAAATATGGGTTATTGGTAGCATCAATGCACTGTAGACAGCACTGAAATTGTGCTCCAATGCATCTCCCTGATTTACTTCATTGGTCTGAATAAAATACAAGAGGAAAATGCTATTCAAGCTGCCAAGATAAACAGTCAATTTGACACTATTATAAGCATTAGAAAAGGAGTGTAAAATGGAAGAAATTCTAACAGGGAAGCTTATTTTGTTTTCTTTAATAATAAAAAAAAGACTAAATGAACAAAATACCCTGTACATAATGGCTTTCTTGTAGAAAGCAATGTTTTTCAATACAAAATGACTTCTGTTCTCATGGGAGATGTAAATGTACATTTTCTTGTGGCACAAAGCTATTTGAAGAATTCATATACCAGGTAAAATACATCATAAGATCAAATCTAACAGTATTACAACTCTTACCTTCATTGGTCTGAATTAAATACAAGAGAAATATTCAAATAAAAGAGCTACTCTAATAGCAACATGCAAAGTTACTACAAAGTGATTTTTTAAAAAGAAAATCTGGGAGATATGAGAAGACATTTCCCCAAACTGTTTCTTTAGAGGTAAAAGACTATGGACTTGGAATAAATACTTCATATAACAGACTTTTTCAACTTGTTAGTTTTGAACTTCTTCCTTTCTTTATTATAAGGGACAGCTCCTGAGGAATGGGAGGGGGAGGGTCAGGGGAAAAGGATATAGTAGGAAATGCAGGTTGTCAATTTATACAATCATATTTTCCCAGGTCACAAGTAAACTAGTTTTTGGAACCCCTGATTCCAAACCTGTAACATTTAAAAAATCTAAATCAACATAGCCTTTGAGATATAGCCAGACCACATCCTAAAGGGAAAAGTCATGACTTCTCTTAGACTAACAGGATTCACGAAAACACAGGTGTTGATGAACTGTGGAAGGTGTTCACCATTAGAATGTAAGCTCATTAGGGGTGGAGACTATTTTATTCTTATTTGTATTGCCAGTGCCTGAAACATTCATCAGCAACTCATATTTGACTGACTCACATCTTTCAAAGATTTTAGAACTCTTATCAGTGCAACGACTAACCATTACTCTAGAATACCAACGATGAAACATGTTACTACTTGGGAGAAAAAAGACCATGCAATGCTTTCCATTGTCCATCAAATAAAGCCTCAAATCCTTTACCTGTCATTCAAAATCCTCCAAAAGCTGGTGGCAATCTTTTATCTTTTACCACTTTTCTTTACATACTCTACGCTCTGGCCAAACTTTTTATACCATGAACAATCTTTGACTTTACCTGCTTCTGTTCCTTTACTGATACCCTAGGTATGAAATATTTCCCTGTCCCATTCTACCTTTTAAAGTCCAAGAAGTTAAGTCTCTGTCCTATTGTGAAGCATACCTGATTACACACACCAAGTTTCTTCCCCTCTGCTCTTATTTAGAAAGTTTTTGTATTGTCTCTGTCATCACTCATCAATTGACAAGTTTTACAGATTCTACTTTGATAATATCTTTCACATCCCATCTCCTCTCTGGTCAGCTGGCCACCACCCCAACCTCATCAACTCTTACCAGGACTATTTTAATAAACCTTATAATTGCATTCCCTGCCTTAAATCTCTCCACTCTCCAAACCATCTTCCACACAGCTGCAAAGGTGAAATTCATAAAGCACAGGTCTGACCATGTCCCTTCCCTACGCAGCAAGCTTCCATGGCTCCTATTGACTCTAGCATTTGTTACATACTCTCCTTGATTTAGCTTTGGAATCTGATTCCAAGGTACCTTTCCAGCTTTATTATATTTCACGCTCTCTAAAGTCTTGACAAACTTGTCTTCTTGTAGTTCACACACACAACATTCATCTTTTACCTCTGTTGTAAATGCATTACAGGTTGTAATGCACTCCCATCTTGCCTCTCAAAATCTCAGGGCTTCTTTCAAAGCTCAATTCAAATACCACTAAAGAGGCCTTTCCTTATCTCCCTCATGGCTAGTACCCTTCCCCCATCCTAAATCACTTTGTAGTGTATTTATTTTGTATACGTGTGTGTGCAGGCTGTGCATACAAATTTGTACATATTTTCTCCTCAAAGAGAATGGAAGTTCCTGGAGGTCAGAGACTGTGTGTCTTCCTATTTCTAGAACCTAGAATATAGTTAACACTTACTAAATGTTTGTTGACTGAAATCTTTATATTTCTCCCCCAGAACTTAGCACACTTCTTGGATAGACACTACAATGTTAGCCGAATTGAATACACATAAGATGGAAGGGGAAAATTCTGCTTTAAAAATCTTTAGTGGAATAAAGAACTATGAGAGTATACCTGGTTAATCAGTTCAGTTAGTGGGTTGACTAGAGTGCTCCACATTCGCCACAGATGCTCTTTGTTATCAAGGTGCTTTGCATTTTGAGTAATAACATTTAAAACAGAATCACTGAAAGCTAGTGGAGAAGTTGGGCCAGTAAGAACACAACCTACAAGTGTTTCCAGGTTTTGAAAGAACCTAAAAAAGAAAAACATTCTACTGAACAACTTTTTGCATGCATTAAGGTTTTATACAAATTTTAACTGCCAGCAGCACTCTAAAATGAAGAACAAAGGAGATCAAGACATTTGTACTCAACCTTGGTTGTCCTGCCCACTTTAATTTTTTGATTTTAAAAGACCCTACTGAGAAACATCATCCCAATTTCCTAACATATTTTCAATTATAATTTAAACAAATTGCTCTTCATAGATAATATTTAGCAAAAGCCACAATCTTAGTTGAATTATGATTGGGAAAGCTCACCTTTCATCAGCCACACCACATTCCAAGAGGTTATTACTAAAAATTAATTGAATTAAGAACAAAGCTGGAGTTCCCTGTATAGAAAAGGAGAGGAATACTAATAAATTTTGAATTATAAAAATTCTAACTATTTTTACAAGTTACTAAGTATAAAAATGTATATATAGCTAGCTATATAAACAGTACCCCACCTTACTAATATCATACCATCTGAAATTTAAGTGCATCATACTTCCAGATAAAGCTTGGCAAAGGCCAAATCTTAAGTATGATACAAATAAATTTAAGTGGTGCCTCTTACCAAGCAACAAATTAAAATACCAGCTCATATGGGACAAGTAAAAGGACATTTAACAAAACAATCACATGTTCTGGGACTGCAAAATTTACTTCTTCATTCTTTAGTGAAATGATGACTCTTCACCTTTTATAAAGAAACCTGTGTCAAACACTTTTTCACTCTCCAAATTATTAAAGCTAGCCTTGCTATAACCTAGCAGTTTTTCTTGATCATTATTATTAAAATTTAAATGCTATGAAATCATGGCAGTTTAATGAAAATGTTATGTCAACATTTCATTTTTTTTTTTTGCTCTAGGCAATGGAGTTAAGTGACTTGCCCAAGGTCACGCATCTAGTAAGTGTTGTGTGTCTGAGGCCACATTTGAACTCAGGTCCTCCTGAATCCAGGGCCGGTGCTCTATCCACTGTGCCACCTAGCTGCCCTCATTTTGTTTTCTTACCCAGACCTTTCTATAACAACTAAAAACCAGTTTTCACTAAAAGTTATAATATATGAGATTGTTATAAAGAATGAAACAAAAGGCCTTTTTCTCTTCCATAAGGATCCACACATTAGTAAGGTACAATTTTAGGAGTCAAGCAGAAAATCCCTGGATGATACTGTGGCAAATGTTATGAAGATACTATAAAGCAAAAGACACTGTTCTTGCTGCACCCTCCCCCAGCCTTCCCCCACCCCTCCATAATCCACAAGGCAATCAGCTTGAAGCCATTTCTTAGTGAAACATTTAGTCTCTCTATTTCTCTCACTGATGTGGTCACATACATACGTATGTGTACACACACACACACACACACACACACACACACACACACACACACACACAGCCCCATTATATTTAAGATACTTGCATTAAGAAGATCCATGTTAGCAACTTGATATGCTGGAGAACCTAATACTTTCTGAGGTAGTTCTTTAATTGTAATTTCTATGAGGACCTAAGGAAATTTTTTAAAAAATGGGACAAAAATTATTCCAAAAGAACACCCCAACTTTGTTGCGAAAAAGTGAAATACAAGTTTCTACAAAGACATATGATTGCAAATGTTACAAATCTGACCAAAAATAACTAATGAGTTACTTAATAGGATATTAGGAAGACATAGACAGATTTAATAATTTACAAAGTTGTCATGTCTTCATAATAACTCTGTAAGTAAGATATGATAAGCAGGTCTTACTCATTTTTACAAAGGAAGAAATTATAGAAGGCAAGTGATTTGGCTGGAGCTAAGGCTTAAGTTTCCTGATGTACACAGTTCAATGCTCTTTATACAGTATAGTATACTAGTATTCCAAAACACTAAATAAATCAGCAGATTCAGTATGAGTTCAAGATGAAATCATATGACGACACACAAGTTATGGAGGGCACTACAACAATTCATTTACTTCCAGTACCACTTTTCCATTATGATTTTGAAGAAAGAATTCACCTGAAATATAACTTTTGAATACCATTGTTTTGATCTGCCAGGTGGACTTACTTAAAATCTAATCCACTGACAACAAATTTCTATTTTCCCATGTAACCCTTACTATTCTATTAAAAAAAATGTTTCCTAAGCACCTATTTTGTGAAGCACAAAGAGCTAAGGATACAAACATGAAAAAACAACAGTTCAGAAAATTTATAATCTAGTTGAGAAAGATGACATGAATAAACAGGTAACCATAATAATTATAAATTTGTAGGTGTACAGGAGAAGCCAAATGGCCAGATTAGAAATTTGGGTTCATTTCTAAATCCAGGGTGGGTGGTTAGGAAAGGTTAAGAGAGTGACGATAATTAATGACACAAAAGTATGCCTTGGAAAAGAGAGAAAGACAGAAAGAGAGAAAGAGAGAGAGAGAGAGAAGGTGAAGGGCAGGGAGGAGAAAGGTAAAAAACAGAGAAGGTAAAAGGAATGTATGAGGGGAAACGATATAAGGCATTGGATAGCCCTGTTCCTGTTACTAAAGTAGAGAAGTTACTTGATAAGATAGAGTAGTATGGAATGAAAGATTTCCACTATAACTGCAAATTAATTACAGTGGCAAGGTAATAATAACCAAGTTGGATTTTTTACAACTATATAATAGTATTTCTTCAGGATTTATTTTCCAATAAGTGACTGATTCATTTGTTCAATCATATAATAAGAAATTTGCATAAAACCTATGGGTTAGTAAGACAAGCGACATGGCAAAAATGGTAAAAAACTCTTTTTTTTTTTTGCTTTAAAAAATACTATTAATAAAACACTTACCAATGCTTTTGATACAGGAAATGCATCAGCTGTCACTATGCTTTTCAAAGACTGTAGCAAAAGGGTCAATACTTCTGAGCCCTGTCTTTCTTTTTTGTTACCTAATAGTTCAGAAATCACAAGCATGTTGAAAATTCATTTAAGAACACCTAAGTTTTCAAGTAGCTACTCAGAACTTAAAAAACTCTTTACTGTATGAGTTTAATAAGTGAATGATTTCAACATTAAAAATGAAACTTAACATGTTAAAAGAGACACATTTAAAACAACAGATGAGCTTTATGGTTTTGATTTTTCACTGCAAGCAGAAAGTGATAGAAAATATCAGTTTAGCCATGCCTGTTCGCTTTATAATTACATTACCTGATTCAATAACTGACTTCACAAAGCAAATAATATCTTTCCATATGGCATAAATCACAGCATCTACAAAACAAGAATAATTTGTTTAACAAAAAACAAAACAAAACAAAACGGGGAAGTCATTCTGAATACAACACAGTGCTTTCTTAAGTCCCAACATACCGTTTTTTAAAAGGAAGACTCTTAATGACCAACTAGAATTTCTAATGAAATGCTTACCTGAAGCATCTTTTCCAACAGCAACAAAGCTGTCCTGAACTGCAGCCATGAGTATATTTGCATGTTTGCAAAAGAATGAAGGGCTATTGATTAAAGGATGCTGAAGAGGCTCTAAAAAAGGGGAAAGATAATGAAAATGTCAAACTGGAATTTTTCTGTAATATTCTTCAGTAACAAATTGATTCTTTTAAATAAATAAAAAGCAAAACTTTACCATTAATCCATGCTTTTGACAACATTAGTTTTGCATGTTTGGCAATATATAAAAAGTAACACTTAAAAGTACTGGAAAATACACTGTGAGATTTGTGTAAGTCCCAAAAATATTTTAAGAAAAAAAAAATACCTAAACTCAGCACAAGTTTGTTTTTTTTAGCAAATTCTAAAACGCCTGGACCCAGCAAGAAGTGAAGTAACATTTCAATTCCCAAGAGCTGAATGGATGGGATAGCTGCCATTCCACTGGTACTAAGAGACAAGTTCATCCTGGGTGTAACAGGAGTTCCAAATGGGAAAGATCCTTAAGAGAAAAATCAGAAAATTCCTTTAAGTAGTTTACATTAAAATAAAAAAGTCCAAAATATAAAATTGTTCTTCTGGTTCTGTTTACTTTATTCTCAATCAGTTCATTCAAGCCTTCCCAGGCCTTTATCTTTTGTCATTTCTTAATGGCACAATGATATTCCATTCCATTCATATAACCCAATTGTTTAGCCATTCCAATTGATGGCCATACCTTCATTTTCCAATTTTTTTGCTATTAAAAAAAAAAAGAACTGCTACTTATTTTTGTACACACTGCACTTTTTCCTCTTTCTTTGATCTCTTTGGGGTACCTGTTTCAAATAAATAATGAAGCAAGATCTCCACATTAGGACAGAGAAGTGATGTACTCAGGATTCAGAATGAGAGTTTTTCAAACAACTTGTTTTGCTTGATTATGCATTTGCCAAGAGGCCTTGGTTTTTTTCTTTTTAAATTCAATGGGGTAGGGGAGAAAAAGTAGGTCATTGAGGCATCTTTTCATAAATTGCGGAGAGACAGTAAAACCAGAAAAAAAATCACGGATGAGCAGGACAGCTTTGAAAGCTACAAGTTGAATTTATTTCATAATTTTTAAAAAATCAGCATATAAGATGCTGGAAATTTTATGTACAACCATCTTTTTCTATTCTACATGTATGAAAATATCAATTTTATTTAGCGTTTAAGTTACAATTTTTTACAAAAAAAAATCCAAATTAATTTTACACTAAACAGAAGATTGGGGAAGAGGGAGGACAGGGAAGAGCTTTGATAATGCTTACAACTGTCACAAATTTCCATATGGGGTTCTTAACCTAGAACATGTTAAGGGGTTCAGTCTTCATGAGACTGTCAAAGGGGGTACATGACATGAAAAAGGTTATGTCTAGTGGAAAGAACCTGGAGTTCTGGATTTGGAATCAATTTTGATTCTGAGGTATACCAATTACATGCATCTGCAACCAAGTTATTTTTCTGATCCTCATTTGTGATATCTGATCATGGGCTGTTGGAAGAATCAATGAAAAAATAACTTGGTTTTTCAATAAATGTTTGTTTACCTATCTGGCTATGTTAATAAAAGCTCACATTATTATTCTTAAGAACATGCTGTCCTTTACCCTTTATACAAGCTAAAGACACTTGAAGAAAAATCATTTTGGGGCAGCTAGTATGTGTCAAGTGTTTTGTCTGAGGCTGGATTTGAACTCAGGTCCTCCTGACTTCAGGGTTGGTGCTCACTGCACCATCTAGCTGTCCCTAGCTCCATCACTTATTGCTGTGACTTAAAGTCACTTATTTGTTTCTTTATCTGTAAAGATGGCCTTATCTATGTGAGTTATTATAGAATAGGGACTGGTTATAGTCAAACAAATTTCTTGCTCAGCTCCACACCTAAAAACCTGTCCCCATATTGTCATCCTCTGCTCTATTCAAATAGAATAAAGTGGCTTTCCATCCTTTACCAAGGTTCATCTTTCTAGCTGCCATTGAACATCACTGGTTTCCTGTATAAGTTTGTTCCATTGATCATTTCCCTCCCACTAGACCCCTTATCTACTGTCTTCTTTCCCAACGACCACAGTCATTCTTAGGTTTCATTAATCAAAAATATCCCCCTTCGCCTTCCTACAATCTCAAACATCAATCAATCCTTTGTCTCCTCTGCCCTTGGCTACTAGACTGCAAAAAGTCAACTCTATACATCTTTTACATCTGCATTCATACGTTGCAATTAGGTTTTTGACTTTACTGAAGCTGGTACCTCTCCAAGATAATCCCTTAACTGCTAAATTCCATGTCCTTCTCTCAGTTCTCTTCCTCTTTAACCTTTCCCTAACATTTAACACTCGATCACTCTCATTGGTAGATACTTTCCAACTGAACATGTCCGACCACTCCTCAGCATCTTTCACTGGTTTATAATTCTTACCTTAAGTGTAGGTATACCCTGAAGCTCAGTCTCCTGTTTTCTCTTTGGAGTTCACTTTTGAACTCATTATCTTCTTCTTAAATCTGTCCCATTTCCCCAACTTGCCTACTCCTTTCCCTATGATCTTTCTAGTCACTCAGGTTCACCTGATTCTTCTCTTGAGCTCATCTCCCACATTTAATGACTACCGGCTACCTCCTCAATACCTCTCCCACTGATTCCTTCCAATTCACTCACCATCACAATGCTCACCACCCAAATTCAAGAATATAGCAGTGATCTCCTAGCTATGTCCTTCGTGGCTCCCGTCTCTATAACATCATTCACAAAGTCATCAACATCTTTCCAATCTACTCTCTGATCATACACACATACACATACATACATACACACACACACACACACAATATGCCAGTCTCCACATCACAGGAACCTATATTCACCAGCTAAACCTTGTTAATGAAACAAAAAGTGCTTCTGAAAGATGAAAGATAGTTTCTTCTACCATCAAATAGGATCCATAAGACAGTGAAAATACCATTTAAAGTAAATAAAACCCAATTCTAATTGCTACAACTTCAAAGATCTAGTTTGAAGATTGCAGGAAAAAGAAAATTACATATAAAAATTTATAAAAAGTAAACTTTCGAACAAGTAAATTATTTGCCCTCCAATACTAGGACAATGACTAATCTTCTAAATATGCAAATATAATCATTTTTACCATTATAGCAACAAAAATTTCAAAAATCCCCTTTCAGATACCCCTTTTATATCCATGTAGACCAGGGAAAAACAATCTTAATATTCTGTTTTGTGTTCATGTCCTTGGTGAGCGCTCAGGTCCAGGACATAAATACACACTTTAACAAAGGTTGGAGCTTGGTCAGAGCCCCAGATACCTGTTTGTTGTGTAAGTCTCCAAGGAGGGACAAAACAAAGAAAGGGAACTGCATTTTCTCATCTTCTTGAAGATTAGGTTCAACATTAGCCTTCAGTATTAAAACCATGCTGTGTTACGCATTATTAATACAGTAAAATATTTGTAACTTAACAATTAGAAACTAATATTTCTAGTATTCTTCTTATACAAAGTTAACAAGTACTAACCAGAATCAATACTAAACCAAACAACCACCAAAGATTTACAAGATTTTGGTCATGAAATTTTTGTTGCTATTAGGGTAAAAAATGATTACACTTGCATATTTAGAAGATCAGTCATTGTCCTAGTATTGGAGGGCAAATAATTTACTTGTTGAAAAGTTTACTTTTATTAAAAAGTTTACTACAAGTGCAATTCTTCTTTTGAGAACTGTTCATTTTGAGGGGCGGAGCCAAGATGGCGGAAGGAAAGCAGTGACTTGCTAGAGCGCTCTCCCAAAGCCCTCCAAATACCGAAAAAAATGGCTCTAAACAAATTCTAAAGCAGCAGAACCCACAAAAAGACAGTGAAAAAAATTTCCAGCCCAAGACAGCCTGGATGGTTGTTAGGAAAGGTATATCACGCCGGGCGGTGAGAGGAGCACAGCTTAGCATGGGCACGCAGGCCACAGCGACCCTGGAGCAGGCCTCAGAGGACTGAATCGCGGGCAGCTGTGGTGGTTTCCAGACTTCTCAATCACTGAACTTGAAAGACAACTTAGAAGTTCAGTGGGAAAAGTCTGTGACTGTGGTGAGAGAGGAGCACGCCCTGGGGCCGCAGCTTTTTCCTGAGCTTCCAGCCCATAGACTGAGGGGGAATCAAGTGGCTGATCAGAGGGGGATTGCAAGGATCTCTTTGCCAGTGCTGAGGCAGGAATCTCTTGCTTTACCAGTGCTTGGATCTGGGTCACAGTTCTGAGGGGCAGTCCTGGGGCAAGGAAGAGCATTGGTGCGGTGGAGCTTGTTGTGGAGGTGGAGAGGAAACACCTCGCCCCTTATCATAGCACCTTGGAAGAACTGACACTTTTCAGGTCCCTAGAAGTACCTCTGAAAACAGCTGTACAAACCCCCAAAGCCTGGGACAGTACACTCTTCACACTGGAAGCAGACTTTTACCTTAAAAAAGAGTTTAAATCTCAAGAAATCTCAATTGATCATGAGTAAGCAGCACAAAAAGAGTCACACTATATTATCTAACTTTTGTGACAAAGAAGATCAAAACATAAAACCAGAAGAAGACAACAAAGCCAAAGCTCCTACATCCAAAGCCTCCAAGAAAAATATGAATTAGTCCCAGGCCTTGGAAGAGCTCAAAAGGGATTTTGAGAAGCAATTAAGAGAAGTAGAGGAAAAACTGAGAGTGGTGCAAGAAAATCATGAAAAACAAGTCAACAGCTTTCTAAAGGAGACCCAAAAAAATACTGAAGAAAATAACACCTTAAAAAATAGCCTAACCCAAATGGCAAAAGAGGTCCAAAAAGCCAATGAGGAGAAGAATGCCCTAAAAAGCAAAATTGGCCAAATGGAAAAGGAAGTCCAAAAGATTACTGAAGAAAATACTTCCTTAAAAATTAGAATAGATCTATTAGAAGCTAGTGACTGTATGAGAAATCAAGACACTGTAAAACAAATCCAAAAGAATGAAAAATTAGCAAACAATGTGAAATATCTCATTGGAAAAACAACTGACCTGGAAAATAGATCCAGGAGAGAGAATTTTAAAATTATTGGACAATATGAAAGCCATGATCAAAAAAAGAGCCTAGACATCATCTTGCAAGAAATGATCAAGGAAACCTGTCCTGGTATTTTAGAACCAGAGGGCAAAACAGAAAAGAATCCACCAATCTCCTCCTGAAAGAGATCCCCAAAAGAAAACTCCTAGGAATATTGTAGCCAAATTTCAGAGTTCCCAGGTCAAGGAGAAAATATTACAAGCAGCCAGAAAGAAACAATTCAAGTATTGTGGAAACACAATCAGGATAACACAAGATTTAGGTGCTTCTACATTAAGAGACCGCAGAGCATGGAATATAATATTCTGGAAGGCAAAGGAGATAGGATTACAACCAAGAATCACCTACCCAGCAAAACTGAGTATAATCCTGCAGGGGAAAAAATGGTCATTCAGTGAAATAGAAGACTTTCAAGCATTTTTGATGAAAAGACCAGAGTTGAATAGAAAATTTGATTTTCAAATACAAGACTCAAGTGGAACATGAAGAGGTAAACAGGAAAGAGAAAATCATAAGAGACTTATTAAGGTTGAACTGTTTACATTCCTGCATGGAAAGATAATATTTGTAACTCATGAGATCTTTGTCAGTATTAGGGTACTTTGAGGGGAAAAAATTATATGTACGTATATATAGATACAGATAGATAGAGGACACAGGGTGAGTTGAAGATGAAGTGGTCATATCTGGAGAATAAAATTAAGGGGTGAGAGAGGAATATACTAGGAGAAGGAGAAAGGGAGAGGTAGTACGGGGAAATTATCTCACAAAAAAAACAACAGAAAAGAAAAGGCTTTTACAGTGGAGGGGAAGTGGGGGAAGGTGAGAGGGAATGAGGGAATCTTGTTCTCACAGGATTTGACTTAAGGAGGGAATAACATACACACTCAATTGGGTGTGGAAATCTGTCTTACCCTACAGGAAAATAGGGGGGGAAGGGGACAAGAGAGTAGGGGAATGATAGAGAGGAAGACAGACTGGGAAAGGGAGTAATTAGAAGCAAATACAGGGTCAAAAGAAAGAATAGAATAAATGGGGGGGGCGGGATAGGATTAAGGGAAATAAGAGTTAATTTTTCACAGCATGTCTACTATGAAAGTGTTTTGCATAACTGCACATATATAACCTATATTTAGTTGCTTGCCTTATCAATGAGGGTGGGTGGGGAGGGAAGAAGGGAGAAAATTTGGAACCCAAAGTTTTAAAAACACATGTTTAAAAAAAATGGTTTCACATGCAACTGGGAAATAAGAAAATACAGGAAATGGGGTACAGATATCCATCCTGCCCTACAGGAAAATTGAAAGGGAAGGGGATAAGAGAAAGAGGGGAGAGACAGAAAAGAAGGCAGACTAGGGGAAGGGGTATTTAGAATGCATGCCATTTTGGGGTGGGGGGAGGGGCGAAATGGGGTGAAAATTTAGCACTCAAAATCTTGTGGAATTTCATTTTTTAAAAAAAAAAATAAAAAGAAAGAAGAAACAGAGAACTGTTCATTTCCTTTGACCACTTTTCCACTGAAAAATGGCTCCTAGTCTTATATATTTGCATCAATTCCCTACATGTCTTGCTTATCAGACATTTATCAGAGATCCTTTACGTAAACATTTTGTTCCTGATTAGTTTTCCATTTTGTCCTACCTGCATTGATTTTGTTTATATAAAAGCTTCTCAATTTCACATAATTAAGATTGTCTTTCTTGCCTTTTGCAATATTCTCCATTGCTTATTTGGTTGTGATATCATCCCCTAGGTAGAGGTACAAAAATTACTTCCATTCAATATGGAATATGTTAGTTCTTTTGTGAAGTGACAGTTAATCTTTAGTTTACTGATCCCTTTGGAATTTATTGTGTCATATAGTATAAGGTACTTAAACCTATTTTTGCCAAGTTTCTAGTTTTTTCCAGCAGTTCTGAAAACTCTAACAGTGGCAGTGATATCAAAGAAATGAAAGTCATTGGAACAGAAGAGACAAACTTACTCTTATTTGGAGACTACATGATGGTTTACTTCACAAACTCCAAGGAAATGAACTGTTATTTTTTGCCTTTTTTTTTTTTAAAGGCAACTGGGGTTAAGTGATTTGTCCAGGGTCACACACTAAGTGTCAAGTGTTTGGTCTGAGGCTGGATTTGAACTCAGGTCCTCCTGACTTCAGGGCTGGTGCTCTATCCACTGTGCCACCTAGCTGCCCCCTATGAACTGTTATGTTTAATAGGATAATAGAGATAGAGCCAGAAAGGACCCTAGAAATCATCTAGTCCACTCCCCCTGACTTGCTATTGTTCACACGTAATTAGTGGCAAAGCCCAGGGTTTGAACTCAGGTCCTTTTTTGCTAGATTGAGCACATTCTTCAACCTGAGGGAAGAAGGACACACTAACACTCTTGGTGAAGCTATAAACTGGAATATAGAAAAAATTTGAAATTATATGAGAAGAGTCACTAAACTGTTTACATCCTCAGACCTACTACTTGGCGTAGATCCCAAGGATGTTAATTACTTTCATTAAATGGTATCTTTGAGTCTAATAAAGTAACTAAAAAGAGGTCACTGTGGCATCTTTTTTTTTTTTTCCTAAATGCAGAAGAGAATGGTAGGAAGGCCAGAAAGAGGCATAGAGAAGCAGGGTTGTTTTGAAAGCTTTTTCTGTTCTATTATAGATAGTAATGTCCATTTTAAGTGCTTTTATTCATATATTCCTTTGTGCCTAAAGGTAACTGCTGTCAAAAAACAATTACACGAACAAGTTTCTACTGCATTGATAACTGCTGACAGTTAACTATTTATAATGAGTCTGTTCCTAAGACATTCATATATTAATTTTTCTAAGATTCTGTATAAGCTGTTCATCTCAAATGTCAAATACGTATTACTGACCAATATTAAAATAAATCTATATATACATAATTATAAAACCCAGCACAACCAGCTACAACTAATCAAGCACATAAGCAGAATTCTTCAAACTGCAGTATTTGTGATTAGAAAAACAGCTTTAATAATAAGACCAACCAAAAGGAATAGATGCTGGCTTTTGAAGTAAGGGGTTTAAATGGGCATTTTCTATTCTTTTCATAATCAGTTTATAGATTTAAATCAAAGTCTATCCTGTACCTGCTTTCTGGTTAGGAGTAACAGGGTTTAAGCCTGCATTAGCTGCTCCCCGGGATGGAGTTCCTTGGGATACAGTATGACAGTCTGTGCTTATCGTGCTTTGAATCAATGGTACACAAACCTATGGAGAGTAAAAAGGAAACAATGTATATTTATGCATTCAATGATGCCCTATTAGGGCATGCTCAGAGTTCCTTGGTCCCATGATCCACTCTCCCTCTCCTCCAATCCAAAGAAATATATACCACTAATTGCCTAGGGCTTACTAAGTTCCTTCAGCCAAACATTAAATACAAGGAAGTAAAGCAAAGAAAGGATAGAATATAAAGATAAAACACATTCAAATTGGGCAGAGACCACTCTGGAGGAATCCATGGATGACTTTGAGTCGTCTGCAATAAAACATCAAATTAAAAAAAAAAACTCAATTAAGAATTTTTCAATTTTCATTCATTTCATGCCAAAAGCCATGAAACTGAGCGTTCAACAACATCTTCATCAATGAAAAAATCACAATTCTAGGTTTAGTTTATTGTTTGTCCAAGTTGTTTTGTTTGTAAAGAACACAATTTCCTCTAGCTGGCATAACATTATTATCATAATTCCTAACTGTTAAATCAGGCACTCCTTATACAGTAGAAAATGAAACATAACTTATTTAAAAACCTTTGCTGACAAGAACACATAGAGGAGTTAAAATATAACTGTTCATATTCTATGTTTTGTTACCTGTTCAAAATTTGTAGGAAGATGAGGTCCAAGTCTCATTAGCAGATACCACCAGACTTCCAGTTTTGTCAGTGCTAGAGCTTCTGTTCTCACATGGATAGAGCTCAAAGGCTGCATTAGCAATTTGAGTCGCTTTGTGCTGCACAGTATATCTTTAGATTTTTAAGAATAGATTAAAAATATACAGTTTAATTTGAGATACACAATCATTCATTAATTTCTGTTTAAAACAGCATTTTTAGTAAACTAGAGTTAAAATAAAGGCATACATCTAATCAATAATTATCTAGAGGAGATTAACCTATACAGAGAAAAAACTCCTTTTGATCATTCTTACCACAGTCAATTCAACTATTCAGGGGATGAATTTTCTGATGGATTACAATTATCCATGTCTCAAGACTAGCTTTGACTAACCATTTCTGATTTTTAAGCATGACTTCTTCCATTCAGTGTTTGACAGGTTAACCTGTATGTATTTCCAATAAAAGGTTTTTAAGGGCAAAGGTATTGCAGTACTGCTTCACTGATCCCTTTCTTTAAACTACTCTTATGTTAAATCACTACCAAAGCATTTTAATGACACTAATGGATGGTATGTGAGCCACCCAAAATAACATGTTACACCACTAAAATGAAACAACATACAGACTCAGCTCTTATTACATTTGCAAAGTACTTTAACATACAAATTTGAGCTTTAAAATTCCCTATTAAAACGGTACTACAGGTATTACGTCCATTTTAAAGATAAGGAAACTCAGGTTCAGAAGATAAGTGATTTGACCATGATGACACATGTAGGATCAGAACGGAACTGTGGTCTTCCTGATTCCCTATCCAGGAATCATTCTGTTGCCTGCTACTACTGATTATGGACCACAACCAAGTTTTATACAAGGATTTAAGGGGAAAATCCCTGAACTACATGTAAGGCACTGTAATAGACACATCAACATTTAAAAATCCTAAATTAAAAAGAATTGAGACAAGAAGATACAATTTAATCTCTTCTCCTTCTTAAGTTGGTAGTAAATAACAAAACTTTTTAACTTACCTGGATTTAATGCAAAATTATCTATCAAACTTTTCCAAGCAATGAAGGCAATTTTCTTTATCACAGGTGCTCCACTACGAAAACCAAGTTCTTCCAGCTGTAACAATGAGTTGATAAAACTCCCACTTCTATGAAGAGTCTAGAGGTTACAAAATATCAGAAGTAAAAATTTTTCAAGTATTTACATTTATTTGCAAAGAGCACAGGAAGAATGCCTAACATGGCAAGACTTTAAAATGTGCAAAAATCAATGATTATATAGCATGACACACCCTAAGAAAGTCATTGATAAGAAGAAATGCCCCACATACAACAAAATCTTTAAGCAGTACTTTTTGTAGTTGCAAAGAACTGGAAACAAAGTTGGTGACCAGGGATTGAGAAGTGTCTAAATAAACTGGTACATGAAGGTAATGGAATATTACTCAGCTATAAAATGACAAACATGACAAAATGGTAAACAACAGAGACAATCATGAAAAGCCTTACAAAGTATACTAAACCAAAAAAACAATATACACAGTGACTGTAACAATGTAAATAAACAACTGATAATAAATGTTGCAAAATTACAAACAAGCTTGACCTCAAAGAGATTAAAGTACACCTTCCCCCAACTCCTTTTTAAGGTGGCACGTATACTTTGATGTAGAACTATGCTTATAGTCACTGTTTTGATGTACTGCTATGTTTTGCTGACCCCCCTCCACCACTTTCTCTTTCTTTTTAAAATTTTTTGTTCTTAGGGATAGCAGAGGACTGGTTGGGGTGGGGTACTAAGGAAACTTTGGTGACTGTTAGGACAAAAGATAAACAATTAATACAACTGCTTAAACTGGTAGCCCAACTCCCGTATACTAATTCCACAACAAATTGTGGTATGTAAATGATTAAATGTTATAGTTGTTGAATTGTTATAGTCATGTTTGACTCTTCATAACCTCCATTCGGGGTTTTCTTGGCAAAGATACTGGAATGGTTTGTCATTTCCTTCTCTAGCTCACTTTACAGATGAGGAACCGAGGCAAACAGGGTAAAGTGATTTGCCAACAGTCCCAAAGCTAGTTAAGTGTCTGAGGCCAGATTTGACTGGGGAAAATGAGTCTTCGTAATTTTAAGCCCAATACTCTATCCACTGTGCCACCTAGCTGTCCCAAAACAATAAAATATTACTGTGTTGTTAAAAAATAATAAATACCATTAAATATGTAAAATAAGCAGAGCCAAGAAACAATATACACAACCACAACACAACAACATAAAGAATGTGACTTTTTGGTAGATTGATTTTGGGGAATTTCTCTTCCATTTTACTTCTTTAAAAAGTCTTTGATATAAAGAATAGCTTTCTGGAAAGGGGAAGAAAAAGAATATAAGGGATTTAAAAATAAAAGCTATCAATAAAAATCTATTTTTGAAATTCCATCAGACAGATCAAGCAAATGACTTTATCTACCCTAGAACTGTATAAAATCAGCCAGAAGCCCATGGGCATTAGGAAAGGGGAACCACCAAAAAAGCCAGCCAACGCAAAAAATACAGAAGCCTCTCAACAAAACAGAGATGGGCCAGAAGAGCCTCTAGTCTGCAAAATTTTATATGTGAGTTTAGCAAGAATAAAGGCCTCCCATGAGAAATTCAAATGGTTGTTGGAAACTCATACTGTGGACTGGACCACATTAGCAACATGGAACAGCAATGACCAGTCCAGATGCACTAGTGTTCAGATTGTAAGACCCTACGTCCAGAGGCACCTGTTTGAATAATGAATAAGAAATCTGATGAGAAACTATAGTTAAGTAACCTCATCTATCCCATAACAGCATAAAGAGTGGCCCAGATGTCCAGGGAAAACAGGAAAAGGGGCTGCCAGAAAGCCAGAGCCAACAATGGCAAACATAAATGGCCTCTGTTGTGACCTCCAAGAGACAACATATCCTGCTACTTTAATCCAAAAAGGAGCTTGAGGGCTCCCCTAAAAAATCCCCCAGGGGATAACTTTGATTACATTAAATTGAAAAGTTTTTGCACAAAGCAAGCCAATGCAACTAAGATTAGAAGGAAGGTCGAAAACTGGGAAAGAATTTTTACCACCAGTCTCTCTGATAAGGGCCTCATTTCTAAAATATATAGAGAATTAAGTCAAATTTATAAGAATACAAGTCATTCCCCAATTGATAAAAGGTCAAAGGATATAAACATGCAGTTCTCAGATGAAGAAATTAAAGCCATCTATAGTCACATGAAAAAATGCTCTAAATCACTATTGATTAGAGAAATGCAAATCAAAACAACTCTGAGGTACCACATCACACCACCAGAATGGCCAACATGACAAAACAGGAAAATGATAAATGTTGGAGAGGATGTGGTAAAATTGGAACACTAATGCATTGTTGGTGGAGTTGTGAAATGATCCAACCATTTTGGACAGCCATTTGGAACTATGCCCAAAGGGCTATGAAAATGTGAATACCCTTTGACCCAGCAATAGCACTTCTAGGGCTATATACCAAAGATATCATCCAAATGGGAAAAGGACCCACATGTACAAAAATATTCATAGCAGCTTTTTGTGGCAGCAAAGAATTGGAAATTGAGAGGATGCCCATCAATTGAGGGCAAGTTGTGGTATATGAATGTAATGGAATACTACTACTGTGCTATAAGAAATGACTGAACAGGCTGACTTCAGAAAAACCTGGAAAGACTTGTATGGTCTGATGCTGAGTGAAGTGAGCAGAACCAAGAGAACATTGTACACAATAACAGCCATGTTGTGCAATGACTTATATTGATAAACTTAACCCTTCCCAGCAATACAAAGATCGAAGACATCTCCAAAGGCCTCGTGATGGAAGATGCTATCCACATCCAAAGAAAGAACTATGGAGTTTGAATGCAGATCGAAGCATACTATTTGCTATTTTTTTTTTCTGTTGAATTTTGTTTCCTCTTTCTGATGGTTCCTCCTATTGGTCCTGATTTTTACTTACAACATCACTAAAGTGAAAATATGTTTAATAAGAACGTATATATATAGCCTATATCAGATTGGGCGCCATCTTGGGGAGGATGGTGGGGAGAAAAAAAAATTTTAAACTCAAAAGCATATGGAAGTGATTGTTGATAAATAAAAATAAATTAATTTTTAAAAAGGTAAAAAAAAGAAAAAAGAAAAGAAAAATGATCAAACAACCCCCCCAAAATATAAAAATAAATAAATAAATAAGCCCCCAGGAAAGCTGGAAACCCATCGTTGTGATCTTAGAAAGGACAGGGAACTGATCTACGTGGTAGTCACCAGTTCAAATTCATACAGTTCTTCCTCCCTTCCCTTCTCCCTCTCCCCTTTCCCCTCCAGCAGTCCTCAGATCAGGAAAACTGTCCTGAGATGTGAAATCCCCTAGATGCCAGAGGACCCTGAAGATCCAGCAAAACCTACAAGCACAAAGACACAACCTAAGTGACAGAGGTCAATAAAGTAATCTAGATAGATACCAAGTAAGGTCTTCCACCTACCCAAAATTACAGCAAGAGGGATTCCTGACCCTGGCACAAAGTTGCTCCAATTCAGGAATTATAACTAGGAATGAGTAAACAGAAGACACTAACTACTCTAAAGAATTATAGAACCACTGACAATCCAAAATCCAAACCAGAAGAGAGTAATCCCACAACATATTCAAGTAAATACTCATTAGCAAAAAGGGTTTTCAAGAAGGAACTCCATGAAATCATGGAAGAAACTGATAAAATTAATTAAAAAAATGATAAAAAATTAAACAAAAGCTTTGAAAGAAAAAAATAGAAAAACAGAATAGAAAGTGGCAAACTTAACCCAAACCAGAACAGAATGAACTCCATGCAACAATAAAAAATACTAAGCAAAATCAGAAGATTGAAAAAAGAGAAGAAAAAATGTATAACTGCTATCAAAAATCTGACCTGAAAAATAGGTCAAAGGGAAATAATGTAAGAATCAGACCCCCTGAAAACCATAATAAAAAAACCTTAGACTTGGGATTTCAAAAATCATAAATGAAAACTCAGATTTATTAAGATTGGAAGGCAAAGACAGAATCTATAAAAAGTCTCAGAAAAGATAAAGCCCAAATCCAGAGCTTCTAAGTCAAAGATAAAATCCTACAAACAAGAAGAAAAATTTCAAGTACCAAGAAACCAGAGTCAGGATGATGTAAGACCTGGCAGGTTCTACCATAAGAATTGATCTTTGTGTAGAATGTTCCAAAAGGCAAAAGATATAGACCAAGGGTAACTTAACCAGCAAAAATGAGTATAATCTTATTGAGGAAAAATGGAATACAGTACTTTCAAACATTTCTGGTGAAAACAGCAGAGCTCAGATTTTAAAACACATAATCAAGAATCAAGAAAAAACTAGATGGTAAATTTACTAGACTAAATAAAGAATACTATTGGATAATGGAGAACCAGCACTCTAATAGAAGTCAAGAAGCATTTAAGTGCTTACTATTTATTATGCACCGTGCTAAGTGACAGAAGGAACAAGTGTCCCTAAGGTAAAGGTCTTCCAATGAGAGAATAAAGTAAGACAGGATCTGGCATTGGATTGGTTCTAGTCTGAGGTCTGAAGAGGGTAAACAAAACGGAGAATCAAAGGAATACACAACTATTAAAAAAGGAAAAAATCGAAAGGGAGTGTAATTTTTTATTTCTCATAAATGAGATGTGTGAGAGAAGTATATAAACAGTAAGGGATGGAGAATGAAGGGATCAGATAAAATCCACTCTTAACTAAAGTGAACAAAGGACAGGTGAATACAAGCACACACAGTTATACAGAAGTACATTAAACTGAACAGGAAAAGATCAGAGAGAGGGAGACGGGAGGTTAAGGAACATAATACAAGAGATGGAATAATAACAAGCAAAACAAACCAACTTTTGAAGGTAGATTCCAAAGGAGAGATGAGAAAAAGTTAAAGAACTAGAAACTGAAGGGGTGCCCATCAATTGAGGAATGACTGAACAAATTGTGGTATATAAATAAATGGAGTATTACCTGAGCCAAAAAATGTTAAGCTATGTTTACAGAATACTGGTAAGACTTTTATGAAATGATGTAGAGTAAAAAGAACAGAAACAGAATTGGAAAGAAAAACAACTCTGAAAGTCTTGTCATGGCAGAGAATCAATGATGAAGCATATTACCTCCTTCCTCACAAAGGGATAAATCAACAGTGCCAAAAAAGAATACATTTCTGGACAAGGCCATTCTAGAATTGTATTGCTTCACTGTTCTTACCAGTATTTTTCCTCCTTTTATAATCGGAGAGGGTAGCAATGGGGAGCTAACAGCAGCAATGCAAAAAAGAGCCACTGAAACTTTTATTTTTTTAATTCAAAGAGAACGTAAGTTTGAGAGAAGGTACAGACAAGCAGGACAGCTTTGGAAATAATGTGTTTAATATGCACTTTTTTAAAAAATCAAGTTGTATATGGAATAGAGATTCAAGGTTTCATATATAATCCTTTTTCTGTTCTTTGTAATTCTTTTTGTACTTTTTCTTGTTTCTTAAGTTGAGAATAAAAAAATTAAATTTTATAAAATAGGAACAGTTATGACCCCAAAAGTCTGGAACATACTAAGAATTTATTGTCCTGGAAAAGTGCAGTTCTTACCTTTCCAAGAAGTTTAACAAACAAAGGCCATAATTTCAACACATATGTCTCATTTTTACTCATGAATAGCTTCTGTAGTTCTGGAATTAGTTTCTGGAAAAAAAATTTATAGGGAAAAATGGGTGGTGAAAAGAAAAGGATTATAAAGAAATAATGGTTAAGAGCTCAGCTCTCAGTCAATAATTTTGTTCATAAAACAATTTTTAAAAAAGCCTTTTTTAAATAGCTTAAAACCTTAAAAAATAAAGCAACTTATTCATCCATCACTAACACTGCACTAAGAAAATCTCAGTTTAATAAACTTGTAAAATATTACATGTGCTTTCAGTTATGAAGAGACTTCTTCAAATGAATTATGTTATCAAATCCTGGCATAAGTCTACATCATGTGTCTAAAGTCTACACAGAGTACTAAGTCTACATACAGTGACTAAATTACTCAATATTTCACAATAATCTTGATATTCTCTATTGCCTATTTTAAAGATAACACAAGTTCTGGGCCAAGTGTAGCAAAATTTAAGCAAGTTCTAAAATATTAATAACTTTACAATATTCACTTTTAACAGTTATCATTAATATGAGCTGAAACCTATTAAGCCTACAGGTTTAAAAAACAGGTGATTAGCAATTCTCCTTCATGGGAATTGCAGGAGTTGAGGACTGAGGGGATAACTGAGGCCCCTAATCTTGTCTCTCTCTTCATGGCATTCAAATTACTGTCTACCTCATACAAATCACTCATACCAACTATCCTTGTATAAAATTCTTAGGAGGTAATCTTACTTGAGAAGTCCTTCAAAGAAGGCTTTGCCAAAAGGTATTTCACCCTTAAGATTTTCTATATTTAAAAAAAAATACCAATTCAAAATACCAAAGTTTAATGCTCTGTCGCTCCCACAACCAGTACACTCAATAATGACATTAGTAATGATGATGCAACTTGGAGGTAGTCATTTCACCCAAACTGAAAAGTCAACATTAAGAGGAAAATACTTTAATTGCCTATAGCAGAGGTGTCAAATTTGATGCAGCTCTCATAACTCTCCCGTGAGGCCCAAATCAGATTAAAATATAATTGGGAAATGTTTAACACAATAAATAAAAATACAATACAACACAAAAATGTTCATTAGTGGCTCCTTTTTGATTTGAGTTTCACATGACTAGCCTATATCATAGTGAGGTGACTCTAGGTTATTAGAAGGTTATTCTAATGGAGATACTCTGGCAGGTTCCACATATAACTAGAAAGGCTCTGACATACTAAATCTTGAATCTGTCGTCCAAGAAGAGTATAAGTTAACCACTAAGTAATGAATTTTTTCCCGTCCATTCATGTTCCCAATCGTTATCTTATTAAAATAACAGGAAACATGGTACACTGGAAAGGTAATTTGAATTCAGTCAGAAGAGTAGGAATGTAATCTTCACAGAATACTCTCTTTCACTTCAAAAACACTTAGCCTATGCTGTTTTGTGTAATATCGTAACCCCCTTACAGTAAACATCATGAAGGCATAGATTCTAACCTAAAAACCTAATTCCAAAAGCTAACAAATATACTAATATGTTTACAAGAGGCTCCTTGGACTTTGGAGTAAGATCTGATATCAAAATCCTACTACAGATACCTCTCTCAGCCTTAATTTCCTCATCTGTAAAATGGGGATAACAACAACATCCATCTCTCAGAGTTGTTGTGTGGACCAAAATGACACAACATATATAAAATACTTTAAAAACCTTAAAGTTCTATATTATAGCTATTACTCCTTGGTATAATCATGTTAGAATAAATCACATTTTAAGCTCCTTTCCAATCAAGGCTCTTGGATGAATAAGCCATTATAAAACATCTTAAAATGGTTACATTAGAACAAATATGAAAAACATCACTTGACATAAAACAAAGTACCATAGGTGAAATTACCCAAAACGAACTTTAGCATAATGAACTATCAAAAAAGTTTGCAAAAGAAAAACAAGCTACCATCTGGAACTCAATAAAACATCAATTTGCAACTGGAAAAATCTCAAATGATATAGATGAAAGGCTGACTTTGAAATCTTTATAAAATTTTGTGTTTTAATATTAAACATGGCCCACTAATATTGGGCTATGTTAAATATTGGGTATTATCATACTTAGAAGATAAAATGGGTAAAGACAATTTTCTACCTTACCATTTTTTTGTCCTTAATTTCCCAAGAAATTAAAGATTCTATTTTTAAAATTTTAAATAAAAAAATTTTAAACCACTTACAGTTGTCATAAGCTGCTCAGTAACAGCTGCTACTTCTTGCTGTTTCTTGAGCAACAACGGCATTCCCATCTCTAATGCAGTTGCTCCCCGCAAATGTACCTTTTGTGCTGAATGCACCACTAAAGGTATGATCAGCTTTGCCCACCTCACTGCTTCTTCTTCCATCTGAATAGGGGCTTGCTCTATTAGTCTGAAAAGAATAGAAATAAATGTTTAGGAAGAGTTTGTGTAATTGTAAACATTTAAGTCTGAACTCATAACTTATTTGCAACTGTTTAGTAAATTTTCCTCAAGAAAATTATCTTGCTAGTATGAATATTACATAATAGGTTGGTGACTAAAGTTGCATATATTTCCAAAGATCTGCAACCTTCAAAACCTACGTCCAGATTTCAACGCCATTCGAACATTTATTAAATACCTACTTTATGCAAGGTACTACGTGAGATGCTGAGGATGCAAAGACAAAAAAGTCCTTGCTGCTGTCAAGGAGTATGTCATTACATTCTAAATGAAATAAAGCTACAACAGACATACAAGAAATGCATAGTAAGTTCAGGAGGAAGAAATACTAACAACTAAGGAGTGGGAGCAGGAATCAGTGAGACTTTTAAAAGGAAGTAGCACTTGATCTGAGCTTTGCAAGGTTGAAATGATGAGGGAATGAATACATTTCAGGAATAGAGGAAGTCTGGAAAAGTGGTTAAAGACAGCTACTGGAGTATGCCTGGAATGTAGAATGTATGAAAGAGATTAATGTGAAATAAGGCTGGAAAAACAGGTTAAAGTAAGGCTATCAAGAGCCTTAAAAACTACTTAGCAGCTTATATTTTAATATGAAAGCAACAGGGAACCATTTTAGGTCTTTGAGCAAGAAAATGAAATTAGCTTTGTGACTTAAGATGGAAAGGGAACAATTAGGATCTATCTGTAGACAGATGTATCTTTCTCTGTATATTTATATACACATCTATACACACAAACACTTAGAAATCATCTGAATGAGAAGAGGGGATGGGAGAGGAAGACAGTAAGAGAGGAAAAAACAGAGGGAGGGAAAAGAGAGGAGAAAGATCCTATGATGATCCAGTAGGAGACTAAGAAAGGAAAAGTCAGAAAGGAAGGAGAAAAAGCAGAGAGCAGTGTCATGGAAACCACAAGAGCATCAACTATTTAGAAAGAACAGGTGGCCAACAATGTCACAAGGTACAGAAAGGCAAAGAGAAACTGAAGAAAGAAAATGTTACAAGATTTGGCAGTCAAAAAAAATTATCTGGTAGTCTTGCTTAATTTTTTAAGGAAGATATTATGTAGGTGAGAGAATCAGAAACTCTGGACAAAGAAAACTAGGTAATTAGCAAATTCATTCTCACAATGCATAAAAAAATATTCTGGGATCTACCTGGTACAACTCTGTCAACCCAGTTGAAAAGCTATGAGATCATCCAAATGTCAGCAAACATGCTGTAGTGCCTTAGTCTCACAACTTTTAAATGTAAGCAAAAGATGTATTTTTAAGCCAGTATTATTTTAAAAACAACTCTCCTATTTAACATTTTACTGGTATTACTCTCAGTCTACTTTGCTGGATCCTTGAGAATCATGCCCACTGACTGTGGGTATCCTACAGGGCTCTCTCCTGGGCACCTCCCTCCCTCTTTTCTCCTGGACTTAGTGATCTCATTAACTCCCATGAATTTAATGATCATTTCGATGCAGATGGGCAGCTAGGTGGTGCAGTGGATAGACTGAAGGGCCTCGAGTCAGGAAGACTCATCTTCCTGAGTTCAAATCTGGCCTCAGATACTTCCTAGCTGCGTGACCCTGGGCAAGTCACTTAACCCTGTTTGCCTCAGTTTCCACATCTGTAAAACAAGCAGGAGAAGGAATGGCAAACCACTCCAGTATCTCTGCCAAGAAAATCCCAAAAAGGGTTACTAAGAATCAGACATGACTGAAAACAACCGAACAATGACAGTTCAAAACTATCTATCCTTCCCCAACCTCTCTGCTGACCTCTTGTCTCACACCTCAAATTGCCTTTGAGTCATCTTAAACTGGGAATCCTTAAACTTAGCATGTCCAAAACTGAAATCATTCTTTCCCTCTAAACTCTCTCTTTCCTTCCAAACATCCCTATTACTGCAGAGGACAATAGCATCCTTCCAAGTCTCCTAGGCTCAAAACCTAGGTGTCATTCTCAACTCTTCACTATCTCTCACTCCTCATATCTAATCTATTGCTAGGGCCTGTCAACTTTGCAATGTCTCTCAAAAAGTCCCCTTCTCTCCTCTGATACTACCTTCACCCTGGTACAGGCCCTCACCACCTCCCACTTGAACTATTACAATAATCTGCTGATGGGTCTGCCTGCCACAAGTCTCTCTCCACTCCAATCCAGCCTTTACTCAGTTGCTAAAGTGATTTTCCGGTCCAACCACGTCACCCTCTACTCAATAAACATCAATGGCTCCCAATTGCCTCCAAATTCAAACACAAAATCCCCTGGCAATCAAATCCATTCATAAATTAAACAACCCCCCCCCCCGTTTTCTTACACCTTATACCTCTAGCGTACTCTGAATCCAGTAACATTGGTACCCTTATTGTTTCACAATCAAGATACTCCATCTCGAGGCTATGGGCATTTCCTCTGGCTGTCTTTCATGCCTGGAGTATTCTTCTTCCACCTACTGGATTCTCTGACCTTAAGTCCCAACTAAAATCCCATCTTCTACAGGAAGCCTTTCTTAACACCTCTTAATTCTAGTGCCCTCTTTCTGTTAATTATTTCCTATATATCCTGTATATAGCTTGTCTGTACATATTTCCTTGTTGTTTTCCCATTACATTGTGAGCTTCTTGAGGATAGGAACTGTTTTTGTCTTCTTTTTGAATGCTCAGGGCTTAAAATAATGCTGGCACATAGTAAGTGCTTAATAAATGCTTACTGACTGACTAGGATCCTAGGTTTGACAGCTGCACAGCAGATAACCGAAAATAATATATATTATAGATAGCCTCCAACTTGCAGCCACCAATCCCTTACCTATATCCCAGGACTATATCCTACCATTCACTTATTTCCAAGTGTTTGATCATCAATATTATCAGGTCTCACACAACAGTAAGAAATCAAGTATTTAGCCATATTTTGATTACTCTCTTCTAATGAATCTTTCCAGCAAATGAATAAGCATACTGTGTACAGGTGACAGAAAGCAAAGCAATGGGTTTCCTGTGCACTGCTATGATATTTTATATTTTGTTCAAGAAATCTCAGAGTCCAATGTTCATGAAATGCTACCCTAGAGCACATTTCAACTAATAACTGAGACTTGGGCAATGGAATACCTTGCATGTTAATAGTCTACTCCTTCAAACATCCTAAGTGTATTAATATTATTTCAATAAGCATTATATTCAAATATACATACCGTATGATAACATTTAGTGCTTCATAATCAACCACCATAGAATGCACATCCACCTTATTAAATACTACTTCTAACATGGTAATTATACTGGGTACCTAGAAAAGATATATATAGAAATAATCAAGCCTAATTTCAATATGCATAGGAAGTAGTATAAAGGTACAAAAAAAAATCTACACCTACCACTTTGCCAACAATTTCACTGGGAAATGTCTGTTTAGACATTACCCAAAGTGCTCGAGTACGTGTGTTTTTGTCCGCACTCTTTGTAGCAATATCAGTCAACTGTGAAAGTAGCTCTTGCATTTCTTTTTCTGGAAAAAAAAAAAGCATTTAAAATTTGAGTTTTGTTGATTATGGAACATACTTTAAAACAACTCATTTGACTAGCACTATTATCAACACACACAAAAAAAGATTTTCATGCTACTTCAGGCCTATTCCATAAACACCAAGTAAAACAATTAAATACACACAAACACATACAGATCACAGCAATGACAGATTTAGATTTCACAGTTAAAATGAGTTTTACAATGTGCAATTGTAATAATTTCAAGACACTTTTGGCACTGCAAATTCATAATTTCTAAACCATCTTAAGAGGTCAAGCATAATATAAATATGTATGTCTTAGGTGATACTTGCTGTAACACACATGGGAAGAAAATGTCTGAAGTAATAAGAACTACCACTTTTATCTTCTTAAAACCAAAGATCCAAAGATAACACAGTATAATACAAAGAGGCAAAAAGACTTTTCTCTTATGAAATTCTGAAAATTCAAAGTCAAAAATAATTTAATACCTGTTAATCCTGAAGTAATTTGGGGGTTATATAAACAAAACCCCATGGCTTGTAGAGTAGCACTATTCAACTCTGAGTTTTGACTAGAAATGTGAATCTGAAAAAAGAAACACAACCATAATGTCAACTTAAAATTTTAATGATAATGAAATCGAAATAAATTAAGAAAGCATTTTTAAGAGATAAATTATGACTTGACAAAAAGTGATGTCTAAGACATTAAAATCAATTCATAAAATACATTATAATCAACGAGATAATAACACTGCTACAAAGATTCCCAATTCGAAGTTCATATTAGTGTTACAAGATTTGAGCTAGCTCTATCTGACCTTGTCATTGCCATTGCAAACTTATATTGTATTAAGATCCATTTTGTAAGAAATTTTTAACAGAAAAGTGGATCTCTGCTAGTGACCTAAACTGAAGAAAGAAATCCACTAAAAGCTGCTCTGAAACCCCACCCACCCATTCTATTATACCTCAGAGGACAGCTCTCCAAAGGACCAAAGGACTACATCAGAGGATGTTCCAAAGACTGGACAACTGTATGATAGGACATCTGAATCATAAGATATGATGGACTAATTAAACGGACAGGAGAGTAGGGGTTACTGAGAAAGGGAATGTGCCATTATCCTTGGTAAGGCATACTTGCCTAAAGGAAGTACCCCCCACCCCTCACCGGTTTTGTGCTACCCAAAAAGGACTGCCCTTTATGCACCAAGATTGTGATGATCCACACAGAAAAGACTAGTTTTTCTTTGGATCAAAGGGGGGGGGGGATGTGATAGATGATTAATTGGACTCCTATTTTATTCCAATCAGTATTAATCAGTTTGATATGATTCCATGTGGGTAGTGATTATAAGTTCTGATAGTTGGTCTCAGAGCAATGAATTGCAGATTTTAAGTTCGCTTGCTTATTCATAAGACGATAACTAGAGGACCTTCACCCTTGTTTTCCCTTGCTATGGTGACCAAAGCCCAGAGTTGACAGAGGTGACTCAATAACAAGAAAAGTCCCCCAGTCAATTTTGTTGCCCCTCCATCCCTTGTCATCTCCCTATTGCCCAACATGGGGAGATGACCATGAGCACATAGCCAATGAGTGATCCTGGTTGCCAGCCTGCAGCCTGTCAGCCCAGGGATGTGCTCATCAGCTTGGTAGGACTTCCTGAAAGTTTAAGATAAGTCTGCTAAGGTCTGCTCACTAGCCTGTTTGTCAATCAACGGGATTCTGCACTTTGTGTAGACCCTCTTAAGAGTGTCATGGGCAAGGCTTATTAACCAATAAGATTCTGTATTTTTGTGGGCTTTGCCTGTATAGTCCAATTATCAAATAATATAAAACTAAGGCTCTGGAGGAAAGGGGCATCTCATATTATAAGGAAGATCTGAGGTCCACTTCATCAGTGGGGGCTGTGGACCCTTTAATAAAGTGTCATTGGCTCAGAGCTCTGCATCAGTGGTTTGTTTTTGATTTTGTTTTTTTGCAGATTGGACAATTCTGAAATCATCAGGGAGCAGGAAATAAGAGAAGAAATCTAAGAGAGGGGCAGGGAGGAGGTATAAGGAACATTCTTGGAGATAAGAGGACCTGGCTCATAACCTCCCCCTCCCCCCCCAAATATGGGACATTAATCCAAGTTTGGAAGCAATGGAGAAAAAGCTAACAGAGCAGAGATAAAAAGTGAAGACACAGAGAAGGGAAAAATAAAAGTGTAAGCCATTTACTTAAGAAGCTGAAGCAAATGTACAAGTAAATTAGCTTTAGAGAAGATAAGAGAACTTCCCAATGCTGGAGGAAAGGATGAAGACATGTACAGAAGATAAATATAGGAAATTCTATTCCTCATACTTTATATCACAACTACTCACAATTCTTTTGATTCTTCCTTTGATAGGTGTCATGATTCCTTCCTTTCCATTCCCACAAACTGGTCTAGGAATTCATCACTGACTACAATAACCACTTAACTGGTGGGCAATCTATAATCTATAGATGTAAGACTAGATTTGCTAGAATTTGATTAAAAAATGTTGAAGATGCCCCTCTACCTACCTCCAAGAAGATCAGTCTTTAACATTCAAAACATACCTTCATAAATCTCACTGTCCTGACATACTTAAAATTCTCATTATTCCCAGACATAAACTTTCTACTCTTCCTAGCCAAGACTTAGCACTGTCCACTCAAATATCAGATGCTCATTTCCAATTTTATACACATTATTTTCCCCTTTTCTGAAATGCCTTTGCTTCTTTCTCTACTTTTGCCTAATCCCAATCAGACTCATTCTCCAAGGTTTGGGAGACACAAAACATCTATGCTTGGACCAATTCAAAGCTCCTCCCATTAGTGTGCCCACCAGGTAGTGTGCCCAAGGAGCTCAATGACAAAAAGTCCCACAAAGTTACTTTTTGTTGAAGCAAAGTAGAGGAAATCAAGTAGATAATAACCAACTGAGGAATGGCTAAACAACTGTGGTACACATATGTAATAGAATATTACTACATTCTAAGAAATAATAAATACATTGAAGCATAAAGACTTCTAAGAAATAATAACAATACAAGCAGAAATAGAAAAATACACATATGTTAAATGGAAATAACCAAAATAATAAAAATTGAATGTTGTAAACTTATAATGACCAAGCAAGAGTCCAAAAAGAAAAAAAAAGAGGCATTCCTCCTTCATTGCAGAGATTAGGCGGATGGGGAATGGGTGTGGAACATGTACAGCCTATCAAAAATTTCTGATCTATTAATTTTGCAGAACTTTCTTTCCTCCTCTTAAAAATTTTTTTTATCATAATAGATGGCTTTCTATGAGGAGTGGGAAATATTAGGTGACATGTCTATAGGTTTTTCTAAAAACTTTCCCCCTTTCCCCTTCTGTGGAGTTCTGTAGGATTACAACCTGTTTGTGAAGAGTTACTTTAAAATTTTTTCCAATGTCTCAGTGGGCATGACAGACACAGTCCCTTTATCCAAGGCACTGAAGCAACTGTCATGTCTTTAGGAAAAGTAAGCCTGTGCAACTCCCCAAATCCTGTATCAGAGCAAACTAGGAAAAAGGGGCTTAGTAGCAAACAAAATGAACTCAAGACTTTGAGATCAGCAGACTCTCCACTACTGGGAAAGCCCTTTACTATAACTTTTATATTATGACTCTACTCCTCAAGTAAACTTTTAAGTTCCTGTCAAACAAGGAATAAGTTTTATATTTCCACATTTACAAAATACAGAATACCAACTATATGGTAGGCCATCAAATGTCTGGTTAATTTATTGTTCTACTATATGCTGGGAGTTAGAAAGGATAGGAAGTCCCTGCTTTCAAGGGGTTTCCTCAAAAGGTGAAACATATTAAGTATTCACTTGGAGATACTTCTAAGTATCTACTTGATATTTTATACTGATTGCCTCCTTCTTACCTCCCTCCCTCCCCCATTACAAAGCACTTCAACATTATCAAGGGTCCTCCTATTCACATGCAAAGACATCTAGCAAAAACAAAAGTAGAAGATAGTGGGCCTTAAATGTCAGTGTTAGTGCAGGCCACAAGACCACCACTTCCAGTCTCTGAGAACTCAAATATAAAATGTAAAAACATAAAAAAAAATAGTTATGTTAAAATGAAGTACTTAAAATGGTAAGACTAAAACTAAATAGTTAGCAAATTCCCTATTTATGTGGATAGAAGTATATTGAATATTTACCAGGACACTTTGGTGTTTCTCAAGTGCCCCAATAGGCAGTCCTCAAAAATCTTCAGTCAATGTCAAGACCAATCCTATGAATAAGAGAGATACCCTTGTGCAGTGGAGAGATACTTGATTTGGAGTCAAAATCTCAGCTCTGCCACTTAACACGGTGTAACTTTGGGCATGTCATTTAACCTTTCTAGGATTCAATTTCCTCATCTACAAAGTGAAGAGGTTGAACTGGCTATCCTCTAAGGTCTCTTAAATTCTAAATTCAATCCTAACTACAAAGCAAAAATGTTACCTTCTAACTTAACCTACTCAACAGTATTAATAGTTTCACTTTGAAAACAATTGTGAAAATAAAGGCTCAAAGAATCTGTAAAATATTTTAATGAACTTCATGAGTTACAAACCTTAAATGTTTTGTAAAGGCGAGGAAGCTGTTTCTTGATTTCTACAATGAATTCTTTTCCTTCTTCTCCGGTCAGTCGACTTCAAGAATATGAGGGAAAAAAAATTTAGTCACTCTTATACTTAATAAAAAATGCTGTTTTCTTTCTTTAACAAGGCTTATATTTTCATTCTTAAGTCATTCTTGGCCTGAAATATACAGTGCTCATATTAGAAGACATTTAGTGACATTGACATGCCACCAAGATCTAAGATTGTAAGCCTGCAAAATTAAATTTCAGAATATGCTTTTCAATCAAACGATAAAAACTTTAAATATTGTATGAAGATGGCACCAGCTTACAAATTAGGATTATTAAAGTATAGCTATTGGCTAAAAAAAGAAGTTTAGTAATGTGGTACAACTTCCATAAATCATTTCAAAAAATATTCTAACTATTTTTGCACTAAATTTTCAAAAATACTTTGCAACATTCAAAAAGAACGGTACAGTTGCACAAATGATTAAAAATATGTTCGAATCTGTTCATCCAGACATAAATTAACTCTCTATAACCTTTCAGGCAAATCTTTTCCTGAAGGGGGAAAAAAAAACTAGATCCTTTTCAACCTCAAGAAATGAGAGAACACACACACACACACACACATTCTCACACTCTCTCTCTCTCTCTCACCCCTTAACAACCTCTCATTTGACCTCCTCTAGCCTATCCCGCTGATGAGCACACAAGCTGGACCTAAGGAACCTGACTAGTGGACTGATTGAAGCTTCCCTTCCCTTACAGTCTATCCACTCTCCCCTACCTGCTCCATACCCAACCAAGACTTCGAGGAAATGGGCAGGAGGGGTGGGGCGAATGAAAGTAGATATTGTGCCTTATTTGGTTGGGGAATTGGGAGACAGAGGAGGGAGAAAGCAGGTAAACTGAGACTTACCTGGCCAAGGTCAGGTAGGCATCCACCTGCTCCCCCATAGAGGCGGCGGGATCCTCCAGCGTTTCCAGCAGCGGGGTCAGAGAGCTACAGCCCTGGGCAGTCATGATGGCTACACTTTAGTAGGGGGGAGAGAGGAGACGGTGACTATGAGATGACTCCCTCACTGAATACCGACACTCCCCGCCCTCCGCCAGCGCCGCTGAAAAGCGCACAGCCTACCCCAACCCCTACCCGCAGTACCCACACCCCGCCACGCGCGCGGACCAACACGCGCGCGCATGCACACCCACCCGCAGGCGCGCGCGCACACACACACATACACACACATACACACGTGTGTGCCCGCTCGGACCTTCCCCGCCCCCTCCTTTCCACTCACCCTCCCTCAGGCCGCGTTCCCGCGTCCCGATTTCGCGGGGTAGGAGGTCAAGTGCAGCGGCCCCGCAGCTGGCCGCCCTCCCGCACACGCGCCTGTCCCGACGCTGCCACCGCCACTCCCGCCGCCAGCAGCGTCCGGCGCCGACGACGTGAGAATTTCCCGGGCTCTTTTCAACAGGGGGAGGCGCCCGGAATGAGCGAGGGGCGGGAGGAGGGACCAGTGGGAGGGCGCGTCAGGCCCGGGCGGAGAGCGGAGGGGGGTGAGGCGCGGAGCGGCGTCTATGACGATCGCCTCCCCCCGGTCCGAGCTAACCGTGCGTCCCCCGCCCGCGGGAGCTCCGTCCTCCTGCGCGCCCCGCGTGATCCACGGGCTCGGCGCGAGCTCCGGCTCCGGCTCGGCAGTGGGGGCGCCCTCTGCTCCCTCGAGCGCGCCGGTCCCTGGTTCCGGCCCAGCCTAAAATGGCGGCGGGGGGAGGAAAGGGGGGGAGGGGGGGAGGGTCCAGGAGGTGGGGAAGGCGCGAAGTGCGCGGGAGCCGAGCTCCTGCGAGAGGAAAGTCTGGGAAAGCGATGCCCGAGCCAATCGAGAGCCGGAGCCTAAGGAGCTGTGGAGTCATCGATCGCTCCCCGCCAGCCCCGCCCCCACTCCACCCCCCTGGGCTTATGGATGCCCTGCATGTTCATCTTTTGCCTGTAAGGCGCCATTTCATAATTTTTTTTTTTATTGCTGCCTTTTAAAAATTGCCTTGGTGGAATGATTGAGGTTGGGTTATACCATAGGTGGAATACAGACTAACAGTTTTTTTTTTTTAATTCATTCATTCTTAGAACTTAAATGGCATAGTCTGACTCCCTCTCCCTGGAAACTGAGCCCCAGAGAGGGCAAGTAGCTTTACCTTCTACTGTACTTTGGTGAATGACAACTGTGTGAAATGCACCTGTGAGTCTTTCTTTCTTTCTTCTACTTCCTGTCCTGTTCTTCTTTTCTCCTTCCTTTCTTTTTTCTTTCCTGTTTTCTTTCTCCCCTCCCTTCCTTCTATTAGGAAATTCCATCCACCCAAGGACATCTGTACCTTCTCCGTAACTTCTAGAATTGCAGGATGGCCTTCAGTATTGATAAATTAGGCTACTAGCCCTAGATCACACTCTCTCCAGTACACCGAGCTCCCTTTATAGCAATGGTTTTTAACTTTTTTATGTCATAGATCCCTTTGGCCGTCTGGTGAGGTCTATGGACTCCTTTCCAGAATACATAAAATAAGATAGTATTACAGAAGAAAGCAATTACATGGAAACAGTTATAAAAATATTTCTTAAATCAATCAATAAACATTTATCAAGCACCTACTAAGATCTGGGGATACAAAAAGAGGCAAAAGAGTGTTTACAAGTGACTTACAAATGGAGATTCAGTTTTCTTTAGAAAGTGTAGCATTTAAATACTTTAAAACCTTATTCAGGATATTGGCAAATTCTGAAAATATAACATAAACGTTATTTTTTCTAGCACTTGGATTTTCCAAAGTATTTAATCATTCAACAGAACATTACAGACAGCCAGGTTTGCTATGTGGGCTCTTGGTTATTGAGCCATGCTAGGACAAGTTGCCCAATGTAGTAGAAAAAATATAGCATAGAGGGTCAGAAGACTTTAACTACCTATAAAAGCAAATTTCTTCACTTTGTTGAGCCTATTTTCTCATCTATAAAAAGCAGGTTAAATGTTAAATTGCTGTGGAAGACTTTTCCAGGTTACCTCAGTTGCTAGGGCCTTCTTTCCCTTCAAAGTTACATTGTATCTACCTTGAGCATATCTTGTATATACCTATATTGTAAATGTGCTTCTTGTCTCCCATTAGAATGTAAGGCAAACTCCTTAAGGGTAGGGACCTTATATTCCATCCACCACCCTAAATGTAGCAGTGTTTGAAAACAGTGCTTAATAAATGAATAGTGATTGTAATCCAAGCACTAATATTATATAATTAAAACCTATTTAGGCCACCTGGATTCCTAAAAAGAAAAATATGAAACTCTGTTTTTGTTTACCTTCCACAGCACGTTAAAACGGAACAGGAACCAACCATTTAAAGTGGACAGTATTTTGTAGTAGCTTAACAAAAGAAGGAACAGGGCTACAGAAACATGTAGAGAGAGAATTTGTTGTACTGAAAAGAATGAAAGTTGGAGTCAGGGCTAATTTCTGATTCCAACTTTGCCACAGTACCAGAAATCAGCAATACTACACTGAAACATAAAAATATGAATATTGTGTACATTTGAGTTTTTAAAAAGAGAGTTGCACTTAGAAAAAAAGTTGATTGAAGAATCAGCTAGGCAGCTGAGTGTAATGGTTAGAGCACTGGCCTGAATTCAGGAAGAGCTGAGTTCAAGTTTAGCCTCAGATATATGCTAGCTGTGTGACCCTGGGCAAGTCACTTAAACCCTTTTTTGCCTCAATTTCTAATCTGTAAAATGGGGACACACTGTAGAAGGAATACCAAGCCACTCCAGTAGCTTTGCCAACAAAACCCCGTGGACCCCGTGGGATCATATAGAGTCAGATGTGACTGAACAACAACAAAAACACTGAAATATAAAAACATGAAAGTTGTATACATTTAGAATTTTTTTTTTTTTTAGTGAGGCAATTGGGGTTAAGTGACTTGCCCAGAGTCACACAGCTAGGAAGTAGTATGTGTCTGAGGCTGGATTTGAAACTCAGGTCCTCCTGACTCTAGGGCCCGCGCTATATGGGCCCGCGCTATATCCACCCGTGCCGTTTAGCTGCCCCTACATTTGGAATTTTTAAAAAGAGAGTTATACTTAGGAAATAAATTGATTAAAGAAAGCTTTTTAAAGGCACTTAGATTTGAGAAAGATATTAAATGATCATTTGACAATATTATGTATTCACCCTGAGTTTTGTTTATGTGCCAACTGGCTTGAAGAGATCTGATTTTAAAGTAAATGGTATTTTGTTGAAAACATGTATGGATAATTGAAGGGATTCTTTTGCTGAACCATCAGATACGGACTTCCTCAATCTCCCCCACTCTTTGCCTCAAAACTTCCATATCATTTCACTCATTCTTATATCTTCCCTACCCTAAAAAAAATTCTACTAAAACTTTTTTCCCCAGGTCACTGAAATTTAAATGACACAAGTTTAACAGAACTTAGCATCTAGTTAGCAAGAATAGTTAAAATAAACAGCCATCTATGAGCTGGTATAGTAATTGATAGTAACTCCCCTTCTTATTTAGCAAAATTCTCCTTTTTTTCTCTTCAGGTTTTATTTTTATATCATGAATTGCAAAGCTGTTTTTTTTGTACTGTAGACTCAATTTTTTTGCTACCTATCACCCTACTCTGTGTTAATTGCCATCCCATAACTCTTCTTCCTGTCACCACAGAATTTCTGAAAAGATTAGCTCACAATAGGAATTTGAAATTACTTATAAAAAAAAGTTTATACCCTTTGTGGGACTGCCCCAAAATATTCATAGAACTACTGTGTGGTAGGGGAAAAAAGTTGATAACAGTAGTCATCTGCAAATTGGGGAATGGCTCAGCAATCCTCCCGTAGGAATTTAATGGGATATTTTTGTGTTATTAAAAAACAACAAATATGAAGAATATAGAGAAATAGGGAAATATTTATATGAACTAATACAGAATGAAGTATAACTAGGAGAACAACGTAACCAGTTAAGTAATCAGAAGGACTAATCTGTGGGCAAGGAGAACAGAAGATGAAATGCACCTCTCCCTTTTCATTAAATGGGGTAGAACATGATGCCATAGAATGTTGCATATATTCTCAGACATTGTCCCTGTAGGTTGGTTTTGCTTAACTATATTAATTGATGAGACAAAGTAAAATAAGCACAACCAGGAAAATGAATATTCACTGTTGAAAAAAATTAAAACTTATAGGCTCAATTCTGCCAGAATATTTTTATTTAATTTTATATCTAGGTAGTTTCTGTCTTGAAGAGAGATGTCCAAACTGGCATGGTCACTCCTATCTCCCCTCATATTACTGTTTGCCCCAAAAAGATTTCAGGTATCATTTATAACAATCTTGAACAAAGAAAAAGATGTTAAGATACAGTTTGGGGTTAACGTTCCAGAATAGACACTACTCAGTTCCTTCTTAGACTGTTTCCCCTTAGAAGTTTCTTCCTGTGATCAATAGCTTTCTCTTGAATTTCAAAAGAGATGATGCTGTCCCCAGGTGGGGCCTGGCACCAAGCATTTCAGATGAGTGGGAAGGCAATAATCACATTCTAGATGGGAGTTAAGTTTAGTTATCACCTTTACTCCATTTTTGAGGAAGGTTCTTTGTTCTTCCCTTTTGCCCAAGGGAAAAGCCTGGAAAGGGTTTTAGACTTGAGAAATAGTATTTCTTCATATTTCTAGAGAAAAAAAGAAGTTTTTTTTAAAAAATATATTTCTACAGCACAATGACTACAAAACCCTAAAGGGTAAAAATAACAGCAACAATGAAGCAACAAAAGCTGTGCGGTTGTGATGGAGCCCTTGGAAGGTGCCATTTAGCAGAGTTTTGAAGGAAGCCCCAAAAGCAAAGAAGCTGAGATAATAATAATAGCGGGCATTTATTATCACTTTAAGATCTGCAAAGCACCTTACAAATATTACCTTATTTGATTGTCACAATAACTCTGGAAAATACTGTTATCCTCATTTTATCAATGAAGCAATTTAGACTCAGAGGTTAAGTGACTACAGCTAGTAAAGGTCTGATTCAGGATGTGAATTTGAGTATTTCTGACTTTTAAGGTCACAGCTTTATTCATTGTGCCACCTAGCTGCCATCAGATGAGAAGGTAAAGCATTCCAAGCACCTGGGGGACAGCCGGTGAAAAGGCAGGGAGATGTTAGATGGGGAGCGCTGTGTGAGGATGAACAAAGAATTCAGAATTAGAGCTCAGGAGAGAGATTTGGGGTGGATATATAGATTTGGGAATCATTTGCATAGAGATGGTACTTAAACCTATGGGATCTGGTGAGGTGACTAAGTGAAAGAATGTAGAGAAAGGTACCTTGTAGTG